GTGGCTCGTCGTCTGGCACCGGCCAGACGAAAAAGGTTGGGGACCACTGCAATACAATATCTATCTTTTGAAATTAATAATTAGAGACAGCAAAAATGTAACAGGATCTTTAATTTGGTATCATCTTGTTAAGGCACTGAAGGTTAACAGAAAACTCTCATACAAGGGTAATCACAAATGAACTATAGAGACCCAATAATTACATTTTAAGTATCTGAACCATAATGAAGAATACTTAGTCAAACTACAAGCGGTCAACTTATCAGCATGAGACAGGAAACGCAGATTGGTGTTTGAATGCATGAGAAAGGCAGACATTTGAAGTTGTTTTTAAGCTTTTTGGGGCAGAGATTGTGTCTTCCTACACATTTGCACAATGGATCCCCAGCCCTGATGGAGGCTTTAGGTGCTAAACAAACAAATAATCACAGAATCAGAAATGTTGACAGGTCATCTAGTCCAGTCCCTGTGCTAAGGTAGGAGCAAGTATATGTTGACCATCCCTGGCATGTGTTTGTGTAAGATGCTCTTAAAAACCTCTAACAGGGATTCCTACTCCAGTGCTCAACTACACTTTTAGTTAGAAAGTTTTTCCTAATATCTAACCTAAATCTCCTTTGCTGCAAATTAAGAACATTACTTCTTATCCTACCTTCACTGGACCTGAGAAAAACTGATCACAATCCTCTTTGTATCAGGTCCCCCTCAGTTTTCTTTTCTCAAGATTAAACTACTCCAATTTTTTTAAGCTTTCCTCATAGGTCACATTTTCTAAACTTTTTTTCTCTCCAATTTATCCACATCTTTCTTAAAGTGTGGCACCCAAAACTGGACACAATATTCCAGCTGAAGACTCCCCAGTGCCAAGCAAAAAGGACAATTATCTCCTGCATCTTAAATATAACACTCCTGTTAATACACCCCAGAATTTTAGCCTTTTTTTGCAACTGCATCACATTGTTGATTTATATGCAATCTGCAATCCACTATAACTCCTGGATCCTTTTCAGGAGTACTACTGTCTAGCCATTCATTCCCCATTTTGTAGTCAGGAAGAAAAATATTAAATGCACAAGTGTAGTACTTTGCACTTGCCTTTACTGAATTTCATCTTGTTGATTTCAGACCAACTCTCTAATTTGTCAAAGTCATTTTGAATTCTAATCCTGTCCTCCAAAGTGCTAGCAGACCATTCCAGCTTGGTATCATCCACAAATTTTATAAGCATACTCTTCACTCCATTATCGAAGTCTTCATTAATGAAAACATTGAATAGAACTGGACCCAGAACAGACCCCACTAGTAATAAATAGTAGAAACTAATAGTGTTGTAAGATATTCTTAAGAAAACTAACAGTTAATTTAAACACTGATTTAAAAATTTTAATTACCCTCCAGAATTTGAGGGGGAAAGAGGAGAAATACTTGCATTTCTGAAAGTCTACCTCAATTATATATTCAATTGATGACATGCATTAGCTGCATCTCAAACTGTCTCAAAACATACCAGCTGTTATGCAGTATCAGTAAAATTACTTCTCTCACTGAATAAGGCTAACATAATTTACCATTATGGAGATATTAAAACAGCAACAGACATTTCTAAAAAAACAATTTATCTTTTGAATGTAAACAACTGCAATTTTCCTTCAAGCAATAGAGAACAACTGAGATCATCTTAGGCGATAATTCATAATAAGTAAGTTTTTAGTCCAAGTCACATTTGCATTTTCTAAGTCAGTCATACAAAGCATGAATGAAGTCTCCATTAAGTAATCCACCTAAAACACTTCTAGCATGACTCATTTTTAAAACAGGAAAAAAAAAATGTCTTCAGGAACATAAGAACATAAGAATGGCCGTACTGGGTCAGATCAAAGGTCCATCCAGCCCAGTATCCTGTCTACCAACAGTGGCCAATGCCAGGTGCCCCAGAGGGAGTGAACCTAACAGGTAATGATCAAGTGATCTCTCTCCTACCATCCATCACCACCCTCTGACAGACAGAGGCTAGGGACACCATTCCTTACCATCCTGGCTAATAGCCATTAATGGACTTAACCTCCATGAATTTATCCAGTTCTCTTTTAAACCCTCTTATAGTCCTAGTCTTCACAACCTCCTCAGGCAAGGAGTTCCACAGGTTGACTGTGTGCTGTGTGAAGAACAACTTCCTTTTATTTGTTTTAAACTTGCTGCCCATTAATTTCATTTGGTGGCCCCTAGTTATATTATGGGAACAAGTAAATAACTTTTCCTTATTCACTTTCTCCACACCACTCATGATTTTACATACCTTTATCATATCTCTCCTTAGTCTCCTCTTTTCCAAGCCGAAAAGTCTTAGTCTCTTTAATCTCTCCTCATATAGGACCAGTTCCAAACCCCTAATCATTTTAGTTGCCCTTTTCTGAACTTTTTCTAATGCCAGTAGATCTTTTTTGAGATGAGGAGACCACATCTGTACACAATATTCAAGATGTGGGCGTACCATGGATTTATATAAGGGCAATAAGATATTCTCCTTCTTATTCTCTCCCCCTTTTTGAATGATTCCCAACATACTGTTTGCTTTTTTGACTGCCGCTGCACACTGTGTGGATGTCTTCAGAGAACTATCCACAATAACTCCAAGATCTCTTTCCTGATTAGTTGTAGCTAAATTAGCCCCCATCATGTTGTATGTATAGTTGGGGTTATTTTTCCCAATGTGCATTACTTTACATTTATCCACATTAAATTTCATTTGCCATTTTGTTGCCCAATCACTTAGTTTTGTGAGATCTTTTTGAAGTTCTTCACAGTCTGCTTTGGTCTTAACTATCTTGAGCAGTTTAGTATCATCTGCAAACTTTGCCACCTCACTGTTTACCCCTTTCTCCAGATCATTTATGAATAAGTTGAATAGGATAGGTCCTAGGACTGACCCTTGGGGAACACCACTAGTTACCCCTCTCCATTTTGAAAATTTACCATTTATTCCTACCTTTTGTTCCCTGTCTTAACCAGTTCTCAATCCATGAAAGGATCTTCCCTCTTATCCCATGATAACTTATTTTACGTAAGAGCCTTTGGTGAAGGACCTTGTCAAAGGCTTTCTGGAAAACTAAGCACAATATGTCCACTGGATCCCCCTTGTCCACATGTTTGTTGACCCCTTCAAAGAACTCTAATAGATTAGTAAGACACGATTTCCCTTTACAGAAACCATGTTGATTTTCCTCAACAATTTATGTTCTTCTATGTGTCTGACGATTTTATTCGTTACTATTGTTTCAACTAATTTGCCCGGTACGGACGTTAGACTTACTGGTCTGTAATTGCCGGGATCACCTCTAGAGCCCTTTTTAAATATTGGCGTTACATTAGCTATCTTCCAGGCATTGAGTACAGAAGCTGATTTAAAGGACAGGTTACAAACCATAGTTGTTAGTTCCGCAATTTCACATTTGAGTTCTTTCAGAACTCTTGGATGAATGCCATCTGGTCCCGGTGACTTGTTACTGTTAAGTTTATCAATTAATTCCAAAACCTCCTCTAGTGACACCTCAATCTGTGATAATTCCTCAGATTTGTCACCTACAATAGCCGGCTCAGGTTTGGGAATCTCCCTAACATCCTCAGCCGTGAAGACTGAAGCAAAGAATTCATTTAGGCTAGGTCTACACTACGGGGGGGCGGCGCGGGGGGGTTTCCGACCTAAAATATGCAACTTCCGCTACGCGAATAGCGTAGCGGAAGTTGCATATTTTAGGTCGACTTACCTGGCTGTGAGGATGGCGACGAGTCGACCGCTGCCACTCCCCCGTCGACTCTGCTTCCGCCTCTCACTGCGGTTGAGTTCCAGAGTCGACGGCAGAGCGATCGGGGATCCATTTTATCGCGTCTACACTAGACGCGATAAATCGATCCCTGACAGACAGATCGCTACCCACCGATCCGGCAGGTAGTGAAGACGTGCCCTCAGTTTCTCCGCAATGACTTCATCGTCTTTAAGTACTCCTTTTGTATCTCAATTGTCCAGAGGCCCCACTGGTTGTTTAGCAGATTTCCTGCTTCTGATGTACTTAAACATTTTGTTATTACCTTTTGAGTTTTTGGCTAGCTGTTCTTCAAACTCCTTTTTGGCTTTTCTTATTACATTTTTACACTTAATTTGGCAGTGTTTATGCTCCTTTATATGTACCTCACTAGGACTGGACTTCCACTTTTTAAAAAGATGCCTTTTTATCTCTCACTGCTTCTTTTACATGGTTGTTAAGCCACGGTAGCTCTTTTTTAGTTCTTTTACTGTGTTTTTTAATTCGGGGTATACATTTAAGTTGGGCCTCTATTATGGTGTCTTTGAGAAGTGTCCATGCAGCTTGCAGGGATTTCACTCTAGTCACCGTACCTTTTAATTTCAAGGAATATAGTAGTGGCATTGATCACTGCAGGAAGTTAGCTCTGCACATGTTTGTGCCTATTTATAGTTACCAGAGGTTTTAGGGATATATCCAAGATGACAAAACACTTCAAAGTACTTCCAGCTGATTCACATACTTTAGACGGTTCATTGCTCTACTTTGGAAATCCATTGCATATTTTGTGCAAAATGTATCCATACAGCATTACTTAGAGAGCCTCATACTAATCACCTATGCATATCATTCTTGAGATGGCCTATTCTTGTCATCATCTCTTTCTAACACATAAAGCAGTTTTGTTGTTGTTTTAAGTACAGCTAAACTGTGCCTAAGCAATTGGGTAAAACATTACGCATTAATACATCATTTGCATGACCTGTGTTTGTTAAAAATCTATATACAAGTAACAAAATGCTATTCACTTACCCCCCAAAAACACCACATAAGATTGCATAATATATATTTACATACATTACTAATTACCACACATGAAACTTGTGTGGGAAAGTTCACTATGTAGATACAAAAATGTTCAGTTATGAATTCTTTCCCTCTTCCCTCACGTCACATATCTCAGTTTGTACAGATACATACCAACTGTTTTCTGCCGTACTATGCTTCTTGCCTTTTCTGTCCCTGGAGATCCAGTCGTTGTAGCACTGCGCTGTCTCATTGGTGCCTGTCCAGGCTGATCACGGCTCCAACCTCTAGAAAAGGACTTATCAACCGATGATTTTTGGAACTCATGCCCAACTCCTGCAAAAATTATAAAATTTTTAATCTATTCACTTAGTCACCTGAAATGTTCATAGACTAGACCTTTGCAGTGGTCACCTTTTCAAATAATTTCCACTTAGCTTCAAATGTAGAGTCTCGTAATGCCAAGCATGTGACTTCAGAAGCTGAACAAAACTTTTTAAAACCACATTTATGAACCCCATCCAAACAACATCAATTGAAATATGTCCATACTAGGTCAAAGCTTCTAGTGCAATTACTGTTGTAATTCCTTTCTGACCTTTCCAATACACAAACCCAAGAAAAGTGAGCTTAGCAAGGCCATACAAAATAAAATGAACAACTGTGGATAGTTTTCCCCCCTTTATTTCCAAAGCATTTAATATAAAGTATAATTCCAGCTATACAAATTCCCTTTATCCAAAAATCCTAGTTACCAAATCCACAGTCTCTCTCCATATAGCCCTACTGCAGCTAATAGCACTTTCATCTATATGAACAACCAGTTATCCAAAACATTCGAATGTCCCCCAGGCCATTTGGATAAATGGGAGTGCACTGTATTTCATCTTTTGTTGTCTCTATTAGAAGTGAGACATACAAAGCAAGATATTTAAAAATCATGTATTAACTAATTGATTTTTGTTGGAAAATAATTATACACCGTAAAGATTCAGGCACCATAAGTAACTAAGATGCTAAAACATCTTAACACCAACATGAAAGAGAAAAAATAGGACTAGCTCATTGGAAAAGGCTTTTATGATCTCAATATTAAATTGATCTCTATGTGAAATCCTAATGCAACCATCTCAAAGAGAAAGTAGTAAATTCTGAATGACAATTTTGTAAATCCCCAAATAAGTTAAACAGACATCAGTATGGCTACTGCAGCTGCTGGAGCTATTTGAATAAGCTACTTGTATTCCAAGAAACAAATGAACAAAGGATAACCAACAAATGAAGTATGCCCTCACAGAATACTGATCCACTATGTAGCAGTATGCACCAGATATAGAATCTTAGGACTGGAAGGGACTCAAGAGGTCCTCTAGTCTAGTCCCCTGCAGTATTATCTAGACCATCCCTGACAGGTGTTTGCCTAAACAGCTCTTAAAAATTTCCAGAGATGGCAATTTCACGACCTCCCTAGGCAATTTATTCCAGTGCTTAATTACCCTGACAGGAAGTTTTTTCTAATGTTCAACTTAAACTGCCCTTGCTGCAATGTCCCACTGCTTCTTTTCCTATCCTTAGAGGTTAAGGAGAACAATTTTCCTCCCTCCTCCTTGTAACAACCTTTGATGTACTTAAAAACTGTTCTATCCTCTCTCAGTCTTCTCTTCTCCAACCTTCTCTCAAAGGTCATATTTTTTCCTAGACCAGCAGTTCTCAAATTTTAGCAACTCAAAGACCGCCATTTTGATTTAAAATGTTTTGGACCACCAAGTCCCCCCTTGCTCAGCCCCAAGCCCTGCCCCCACTCCACCCCTTTCCCCAGGGCCCCACCCACACCCCACCACTTCCTGCCCTCACTCCACCTCTGCCCCTCTTTAACGCCTCTTTCCACCCCCTGCCCCAAGCACACTCCGTCCCCACTCCTCCCCCTCCCTCTCAGTGCCTCCTGCATGCCACTGAATAGCTGTTTCCCGGCATGCAGGAAGCACTGGGAGGGAGGGGGAGGAGTTGATCAATGGGGCCGGCGGACCCCCTGGAGTACCCTCGCAGACCCCCAGTTTGAGAAACTCTGTTCTAGACCATTAATTATTTTTGTTGCTTTTCTCTGGACTTCCTTCCATCATCTAAATCCTTGATGAAGATATTGAACAGAACCGGACCCAGAACTGATCCCTGTGGGACTCCACTTGATATTCCAGCTTGACTGTGAATCACTGATAACTACTCTCTGGGCATGGTTTTCCAACCAGTTATGCACCCACCTTATAGTAGCTCCAACTAGGTTGTATTTCCCTACTTTGTTTATGAGAAGATCACGCCAGACAGTATCAAAAGCATTCCTAAAGTCAAGATCATATCACATCTACTGCTTCCCCTCTATCCACAAGGCTTGTTTCCCTGTCAAAGAAAGCTATTAGGTTGGTTTGACACGATTTCTTCTTGACAAATCCATGCTGACTGTTATTTATCACCTTATTATCTTCTTATAGGTGCTTGCAAATTGATTGCTAACCCTCCCCCCCATTAGTAGTAATGAGCCTACCCTGTCCTTGGTCTTCCCCTTCCACCATTACTTAAAGCATTATGTTCTCCATGCCTGAAAATTGTGGTTTGGTTTTCCTCAATGAAAAGAAGTTAAATATTTTGGAATTTATCGACAACATTCAAAGTGATGCTTGATGAGGAGTAAAGTAATTGAAAATACATCTTATTTGCAGAATGTGCCATAATCAGAGCAATATCCTCATTGCTATTTGCAGATGTGGGTGTATGTACCCTTACCAAATAGGAAGTATAAGGAAGCTTGCCAAAAAAAAAATTAATTGACTAATCACCTCCAAAATCACATTTAATAATGAATGACTTAGTGGAGCTCTATGAAGACTGTTCACTTCTAGATAAACATCTCTTTTCATCATTTATTCTTTTTTGGGTTCTGTGGCTGAATACAGAAAAAGATATATGATATTTGTGCTTTCATGCATGTGTAGTACTGTTCCATGATTCAAAAGACATGTTCCAGCAAATGTTCAGTTAACTGCATACATTCTTATCTGAGAACAGACTCTTTCAAACACTGATGACATGAAGAGATGCAAATTTACGACTCAATCTTAGTTTCACTGTGGGTAGCAGGGATGGGAAGGCTATGAAGGACAGGGAGAAGAGAAAGTGTGCTTTAGAGTGACACCTCTAGGCCAATTTAGGAGGAAGATGTATTCATCCAATCCTCACAATACCAAGTAATACAGTGAAAACCAGGGATTTCTTGGGGCTTCACAGATTCCCCTACCTAAGATAAGGCATTTAAGTAGAGGATGAAATGTATTTAATTATAAGAGTATACAGAAACATTCCTATCTGCCACTCCCAAGAGAGAAACAAAGATCAGAATACATCATTTCTCATTCATGACACGCAGAACTGTTATAGCAAGTGTCTTTCTCTTGGCTTTGAATGAACTATCACCTCAACCGGGTCTGATTCTAAGAGATAAAAAGTGGACTGTAGAAAAATTACAATTATTGCATCTGTATAACAGATTTCCACGTAACAGAATACCTAATTTTTACATAGTGCTTTTCATCAATAGATGTGAAAGTGCTTTCCAAAAGGAAGTCAGTATCGTTATCCCCTGTTTTACAAATGGGGAAACTGAGGCACAAAGAAATGAAGTGACTTGCCCAAACTCACACAGCAGGCCAATTGCAGACCTGGGAATAGAATCCCAGTTTCCTGAGTCTAGCTATTAAGCCACTCTGCCTCCGTTCATATTATTCAGGACTGTAAAATAGCCCATTTTCTGCATTCTATAGAATATCTACAACACTGAACTCTAATCTGATTTAAAAACTTGCAACATTCAAATGCATTATTAAGAGGCTCCTTTTTTCTTAAATAATCATTACAGTCGAAGTAATTTTGACAAAACTGGCCTTCTTCAAGGCTTACACCTCAACTAAAACAAAACAAGGTGGGCCCAAAACCTGAACTCTCATAGTCAGTGGCAAAGTACTAGCCCAGACTACAACTTTAATCAATATTCCAATAACATGTTTACTTTAAAAAATTTAGAAAGTGAATAATGTTAGCAGTGGGCTTACAATCTAGTTAAGGTTTACTAGAAATCTATCAAATATTACTAGAAAATGGACATAATTCCCTCTTATTACTAATCAGAAATTAATGGTTATGATTGATGCTTACAGTTAACTAAATTAAACTGACACAAAGAGAAAGGAATACCGCTCCGCAATATGTAATTATGGGCTTAATCCAGCAAATATTTAAGCTGTTTGCAGGATTGGGTCCTATGCTAGGATGTAGTGGTTTTTAATTTACAAAATATAGTCTACAAAAAAACAGAGGTTGTCCCATTTCAGTAGACAGACATAGCTAATTAGACATATATTAGGGCCCGCCTCCCTCTTCCCCCCGCCCCTTCCAAGACTCAATTTATATAATTAAATTATATAATGCTGGATATCTTACCTTTGCCTTTGTGCTTTTTCTGTTTCTGCTCACTCAATTTATCCAGTGGTAAGTCACTGAGGTCCAGGCTGTATAGGTTTCTAGCTAATACTTTTGTTAGCGTCTCCATAGTCAGTGACCACTCAGTGGCCAGCTCTTCCCAATATGTCAGTGATGACATTACAGACAGCAAATCATCCCAAAGCTCTCGAGAGATGTACACGTTTAGATTTGCTTTGATCCAGGCTACTATAAGAGTCTAAAAGAATAAGTAATTTAAGTGACAATAGTTGGCTTGTTAACATAAGGCAACAGAAGAGTATTCAAGCATCAGACTTTACTGTCTGAAACAAAAATAGAAATTTCCATATAGTGTCCACAACACGCGCACACAACACACACACACACACACACCCTCTCTACTTCACGCAAATCTTACATGAATTTCCATGTGATGATTAAGCCTTTTTGTTTTCACTCACAGTTGTGTGGTGTGTTAGGTCATTTAGCTGTGGGAACAAATTGGTTTGATTTATAAAAGATTTCTTCAGATCTTAACATAGTTTAGTTTGGATTACATCCCATGCATTTTGTTTCTTCTCTTTTTTTAAAAGCATCTGGAGATTCTCCAGACCCCAGAGAAGCCATCAAAAGAGCAACTTGGGGCTACCTACTTTGAATGACTCTACTGCTGGCCCATCCCCATGGAACAATGCGTTTTCTGCACAGGTAGGGCAACCACTACAAGGGGAAAAGGGTGGGGCTGCAGTTTTCCAGCTAAGCACATTGCAAAAGGAGAGACTACTTAAGAAGGGTGTTGCTCTGAAGCAAGTGGGGCCTGACCATTGCCAGATGAAAACAGGATATGCAAGAAAGAAGCCATGAGGGACTTTGCCCTGCTGGAAATGCTGGCAATCCTTGGATGCACAGAAGGGATGAGATCAGACTAGAGGGTATTTTTCCAAAGATCTGTAACTCTCAAGTGCTTTAACAGTAACATGACTGCAGTTCAGAAACTCCTTTATAGAGCCTGTATTCCTTGTTTTCTTGCCATGTTATCCCAAACATGGGCTTCTAGCTTAACCCGAGTGCCCACAGCATCAGTGGAACTCTGGGAAAGCATATGTAAGTTAGTGGGAGGCTCAGGAGGTCTGAGGCATTTGGTTTAAGGGTCTAGGCTGGCTGAACAGCAGAGTCCCATGTCCCAATCCCAGCCTCATGTCCCCATCCCCGAGCCCCCAACCTGGCCCTCCCCACTGTCCTTCGGGGCCAGTCCCTGGAGCCCTAACCGGCCTCTTTCCCTCCCCCATCCGTCTCCAATCACCTGCTTTTGCCACATCCTGGCCTCCTTCCATCTCCCCAGGGCTGCTATCTGGAGTCTCATTGGTCCCCCCCACTACCCAGAGCCTTCCTGCCCCTCTACTGTCCCAGCCCCCAGAGGGGCATCGTACCTCTAGCTGATCATAGATTCCAACAGCTTCATCTCCTCAATCCAAGCTCAAAAGTACTCTCACACATTCACACCTTGCTTTGCGGCCCAGATCCCAGCCCACACCCATTCCTCTCCCCCCTGGCCCATTTCTGTTACTTGGCTCAATTGGTGGGTACGGAGGAATGTTTGGAGGGGTGAGGGGGAAGAGTAGCAATGCCAGATGCCTCAGGCCAGCCTCGTGCTTCCCGTTTTCAGATAAGGGAAATAAGGTCACCTTACTCTCTGGGCAGGGTGGGCATGGAGCTGGCAGGCAAATGGGGGTATGGGGAGGGGAGCTGGACCTTGACAAAAAATAATTACCCCCAACTTAGAGAAATAGTTGTCAGCATGTTGTTATATATAGTAATGCTATTATTAGATGCAACTAGCCCTTTAATATGCAGTGGTTCCAATATTTAGGCAATATTCTTATTAAAAATTCTAGTCTCACAGATGACAAAAGACAGAAGGTGGGTGATGTAATATTTTTTAATTGGACCAACTTCTGTTGGTGAGAGACACAAACTTTTGAACTTACACACAGCTCTTCTTCTGTCCTGAAGCCATGTAAGCTCAAAAGCTTGTCTCTCTCACCAACTGAAGTTGGTCCAATAAAAGATATTACATCACCCACCTTGTCTCTAATACTCTGGACCGACATGGCTACAATACCACTGCAGATGACAAACACGTCAACTGCTTTTGTTGCAACCAACCAGCCTCATAGCCAAAGTTAAACTCTCGTTAAATTTATATTTACTTGCCTGAAAAAGAGGTCCTGCAAGTCTTCCTGCTAAAGTGGAGTTCTTTCTTCCTTGATACTGCAGGAAAGCCTGGGATGGCATCTTCAGCACAGATTCTGTGACCCTGAGCAGCACAAGTAACATCTGCTCCCTGCAAAGCAATATTAAATTGAGTTACTTTTTCAGTATATATTTGGGCTGTGACACTTAATAAATCATCATTGTCTATGTTTCTACCCTTACACAAACATTTTTTAAAAAACACGAAGTGTAAGGGTCAGAAACAGCTCAACATCAGTCTATTTTTAAAAAGTCTATCACTCCTGCCCCTTATTGCCGGTCTCTCTCCATTGCCACACCAAGGAACCCCTGCTGGATTCCCTTTCATGTGTCATATAAGGCTTTCTACCTGCTCTCTCAAGGAAGCATGGCTCTCAGGAGTCCCAAATGGCAGCAGTTATTTTTAGTTAGATCACTATTTCTGATCCTAACCTACACTAAAAAAAAAAAAAAAAAGCACCAAGTGAGAGTATTTGGCCGGGGACTGGTGTCATAACAGAAGATGACTTTTCTAAATATATTCTACCAGATCTAAAGAGAATGGCAGGGAAGAAGTGTCTTCACAGTCACAACTGAATAATGTTGGTTGAAGGTTTGTTTAAAGTTATATGAAGCCTGTGAAGGCGTTACATTTAAAATTATCTATTGGAATTTGCTAGCAATTCCCATTTTACTCCCAAGTCTCCACTGGATAGCTGAGAACCAAATCTGACTACTTTTGTTTTTCCATATATGGATACATAGTGATGGTAGCCCTACTTATGAAGAACTCAGGAGACATCAATAAGGGACAATGAAATTTAAATTACAATGAAAGAAGTTGGAAATTTGAAGATTTGCTGTTGCTCTCTGCTGCAGCAGACCATGGTGGCATTCTACTATTCCATTAGAACAAGGCAGGGGCGGAGGGGTAGGGGGAGGAGGAGGAGAGAGAGAGACTGACTACAGAAATGGCTCAGCTTTGGAGCTGGGTTTTGCCCCATGTACCTGGTTTGTTAGAAAAAGAATAAGCTGGTTAGAGTGCGGATGGACTTTTGCATAAAAAAAAAAATCCTGAAACCAGAATAAGTTGCAGACAAGGACCATTATAAACCTTTAAACATTAAATTACTGAACTTGTATACACCCACTACCTTCATGCTAGCCCTACTCCAACACAGTTCTCTGAAAAGAATCTTCCTATTACTTTCCTAGGTAAGTGGACAAGTACCCCCAGGTCACAGAGAGTGGGACAAAGGAGAACAAAAAAAAGTCTATGCTCCTTTCCCCCACAAAAACAAACTGAAGTGGTCACAGGTAATACAAACACCTTACCACCATGGGAGATGAAGGGGGGGGGGAGGGAGAATACCCACAAACAGGAAGTGGTAGAATGGGCATTCAACCCCAACATCCTTCCTCCAAAAGTGGTAGAGCTTGGCTTCCCCAGCTCTCGGCTCTCAAGCACTATTTCCCCCAATGGGCAAGTGAATAGTACTGAATCCAGCTTTTAGTAGGGTTGAGGCCAGGAAATGGGATGGCTATATACACCGCCCCCACCTTCCCAAAAGCTGATAAGACTGGCCCTGGCCTTGGAATAGAAGCCCTCAGTGGCCATACAGATTATCTGCTTCTCCTTCCTCCCCACATCCCAAATGAACATTCAGCATTGGCTACTCAGAAAAGGTGCCTGTCTAGGACTTTTTCAGTAGCTCTGGAGCAAGAACGATTGCAGCTGCTTATCTGTGCCTCACAGCTCCACTCACCATCACTGATGCTGTCTTCTAGTGCTGAGGGTATCTATTTCTATCCCTTCCACTAAGCAGTCCCCTTCCAGCTAGGATGGAGGTGTCCACATGTGCCTGTTGTAATAGTTATCTAGGTTTATTTAAAGGGTTTTGTTTTGTTTTTTGCAGGGGGAAGGCAGGAGATGGTCCATGTGTACTTTATACCACCAACTCCAGCAAAATGATACTTTAAAGTAAACCTAGATACGCATCACTCTTAAAACAGTGACTCGTTGAGAGAAATTGACTCACTTTGTAGAAACCATCCCATTGGACTTCCTGGGTATTAAAAAGTTTTAAATATTTGGTCCAGTTCATTAAAAATCAAAGATAAAAGCATAAGCTTTTTACCAAGTCTTCTTGTCCATTGTTACTTGCACCACCATGTGACGGTAGATATTAAGAATGCGTTTACACATATCAGTGTGCTCATCCAAAAGAGTTTTAATTTCATTTGAAGGCTCAAGAAGAAATATATTTGAAGAGTTTATTATAAAAACCTATAAACAAAAGAAGTGGCAATTAAAATTATTAGCCTGTGAAGCTAGTCAGTTTTAGCTCTGATTAAAACAACTCAACAGATAACCATAGAAAAGAAAAGTAGTGATGTAAATTTTCATAGGTACATCTCTTGTTTAGCCTGCTTTAATGAGTGACAAATTCAAGAATAAAATTAGTTTAAGTTTCAGTTTAGCAGAAGAGAAAATTTTTCACATTTTCTATAAAACATTTGTACAAATTTCTTCAGATATATTATATGGAGAATTACTCAAGGCTGTGTTAAAACTGGAGAACATCCAACAGCATAAACCCACTGCTGTCCTCTGTAACACTGCAACCACAGAGCAATATTTGATAAAACCATGATAGCGTATCTATATACATACACTGTGTGCCTGACAATGATGGTGGAATTTCTATATTTTGGGACTTGAAGTTTTTATCCCACCGCATATAGCACTGCTTGCTAAGAGTAGGGTATTTGGAATATTCAGATAAAGACACACCTTTCATTCTTTCTGTATGCAACTTAGCCTAACATGACAGCTAGACTCTCTCTCAGTGAGCAGGAGAATAGCTATATGCATTGTGGAGACTGACCACAAATAAAGATTAAAGCCCACTGGAACACATAACATGTGCAAATTTCTTGGAAAGGCTATTGCATTCAGGGTAAGCAATGAAATATATACAATCCTAGAGAAGCCTCTTATTACTAATAAGCATTCCTCTAAGGTAAGAAGCATTTGTAAATAAGGCTTTCCAGCTGCAATGGATCTACTGATGGAACTCAACTGCCCATTCTCCATCTACTAGACAAAGCACCAAGCAAATCAACCAGAAAGGGTACTAAATCTACTGTGTTGTAAGCCTTTGTTGATCACAAATGTGATGTCCTGGATATTTACTTTAGCTGGCCTGCCAAAGTGCATTATGTATGGCGTTTCAGGAACTCCGGCTTGTACCAGCTGGGATACTATTTTTACCATGCATACCAAACGTTAATAGAGTGCAACCACAGGGATTCTTGGGATCCTGCCTATTCTTTACTTCCTGGTTAATGAAATTATATCTGGATTACCCCAAGAGCAAGACACTGCTTTAAATACTGCCTCCAAAAGAGTAGAATATGCCTCATGAGGCTGAAGGGCGATGAGACGCCTTTTGAAATGTTATGATATTGTCAGAGTATGTCCCAATGCCATTTTGGGATGCTGTGGTTTATACAACACTATATGACAAAATGGGGAGGTTTTCCAACAGACAGACAGAATAATTTGAAGACAAATTTAATACATCTCAGCAGCCTCCAATTCCTGATAGACAGGAGACCATGTCAGGAAAGCTAACTTAATGCAAAGTGTTCTCTGCCAATACAGCAGCAAATGGTAGAGAAGAGAAAATAATCAAGTTTCAACAGCCGTAGGCTACAAACTGAGCTGTGCAATATCTGACTTTGAATACCTACCTCTTGGATATGGATAATGCTCAAACTGATTAAGTATGGGAGTACCTTTTATGTATTTATTATTACAGCAACTATAATTTTTGACTAATTTATCTGATTCAAATTCGAAGAGAAAATATTTCAGGTATCAACGTTTTTATTTCTCATTCTTTAGGAAACCATGGTACATATGGTATATTGTAAAATACAGCTTTTAATAAACAATCACACCCTGACTTGGGATCTGAAAATAATATAGTTTGTTAAGACTGACTGTACATTTGGATAGTGTCTGAGTTATTGCACTGAGGAAGACATTAGGTTTAGGGCCTGATCAAGTGCTCATTTAAGTCAACGGGAGTTTTTCCATTGATTTCAACAGGCATTGAAACAGGTCACTGGGGACAGTGTTAGTAAGAAAGAGTAGAATAACAGGTAGGACAAGGACAACATGGAGGTTAAAGGAACCACTACTAGAATGAAAGATTCCAGAGTGAGGTTGGTGGAAGGTGACACTACATTAATACTCCAGAGTAAGTTCTCACTCTTCCTTTTTCATGGTGGGAGTAGAGGCCTCAAATATTTGCCTCAGAAGTTGAGCCTGGCTTTCTGATTTGCATCTCTTGGCCTATACACTCATGAAGTCATTGGTTATATATCTGCAGTTTTACTCTCGTCTGCTTTGGGTATCTGTAGCTCAATATTTAGTCCTTTGCCAGCTTTTTCCTCTTCAAGTTTTTAGAAGGAGGTCTGGTAATTTTCCTTTTCTATTCCACTGAAATGCAAGCAGCTGCAACGGAAGGGGGCTCTCAGCACCTTCTAGACTCAGCATGGCAGCTGAGCCTTCCTGGTCTGTTGAAGAAGCAGAGCAGAGATTAGTTATATTTGGCAGCAGGCATTTATTCCTGTTGCAGGACTGGAATGCTGCTGTATGCTGGACTTGTTAAGGTCTGTCTCAGGAAGTCACTGGTAAAATACTATGTATTCTTTAGAATGTGCACCATTAGTTTCAGAAATGTCTATTCTTGATTAGTGCTTTTAGAAGCAATAGTAGGAACTGAAGAATAATCATATACATACTTTTCCAAAATTCCTAATGTTTATGTGTTTGTGCCCTTGAATGTTGTCTTTATTATAAGGAGAAAGAACAGAGGTGAATATCTGTACTAAATATTTGTCCTTCTCCTGCCTGCCAATGAGGAATTCTGGGCTTCATGTACCAATTACTTTATTACTGCTTGGGACTTTGGTTCCCAATAAAACATAATGCCTTAAATCAATCTGGTGTTCTGTTTGGCGTTAATAAATTTAAATAAGAGACAGTTAAATGGGTATGATTGCTATTTCTCTCCTTATGAAATCAGCTATACTGATAACTAGAAGCTTATAGAAAAAAAAGCAGTTTGGTTGCAAAGGCAGCAGGAATGGGAGTTTGGCTATGCCACATTAACGTGGGGGGGTTTGGGCAGAGAACGAAGCAGCACCAGAAATATTATAGGCCCTATTTGCAGCTTTGTTCATCTCTGGGAAATGGTAAGCATACTTTTTTACTGGCAGCTATCATTGTCCTTATAAACATCAGCATCTTGCAATGCTGACTCAGTAAACCCCCTTCTATTTTCAAGCACACACCAGAAATAAGGTTCAGTAAATGTAGACAGAGCACAATACCTTGCATGAACATCTGCCTCTCTTGATTGCTCTGGTTTGTCTCCTCTGCCAGCTGTACTTCATGTGGTAAGACACATTGTTGGGGACTCAAAGCATATTCACTTTACTCATTTGTCGCAGTGGCTCTGATAAACTGAGGAGGCTTGATCAGTGGCCTGGCCTGGCCCAAGAATAATGTACATCACATCAAAAAAAGGGCAGGTTATTCGTGCTGAACCAATGCTACTGTTGTCATCTCTGGACTTACTATACCAGAGGCTTTAATGTTCTCCCAACAATGCTTGGCATTTCATCCAATCCATAGTTTAGCTAATCTCTGACACCTTGTTGTTGTCAAAGAGAACTCAATATGAATGGAGTTATCACTTCAGATCCTGCTTGTAGAATCATAGAAATGTAGTGCTGGAAGGGACCTTGAGAGGGCACCTAGTCGATCCTGCTGCACTGAAGCAGGACCAAGTAAACCTAGACCATTCCTGAAAGGTGTCTGTCCAACCTGTTCTTAAAAACCTCCAATGATAGATTCCATACAACCTCCCTTGGAAGCCTATTCCAGAGCTTAATTACCCTTATAGTTGGAAAGTGTTTCCTAATACACCTCTACCTCGATATAAAGCGGTCCTCGGGAGCCAAAAAAATCTTACCGCATTATAGGTGAAACTGCGTTATATCGAACTTCCTTTAATCCACCGGAGTGCGCAGCCCCGCCCCCCCGGAGAACTGCTTTACCGTGCTATATCCGGTCGCATTATATCGGGGTAGAGGTGTATCTAACATAAACCTCCCTTGCTTCAGATTAAACCCATTACACTTCTTGTCCTACCTTCGGCAGACACAGAACAACTGATCACTGTCCCCTTTACAATAGCCCTCAACATCTGCAAAGACTTATGTCCCCCCTTCAATCTTCTTTTCTCAAGACTAAACATGCCACTTGTTTTTACAAAACAAAAAACAAAAAAAACAAAAAAAAACACCACACACACTTTCCTCATGTCAGATTTTCTAAACCTTTTACCGTTTTTGTTGCTCTCCTCTGGACTCTCTCCAGTTTATCCTCATCTTTCCTAAAGTGTGGCACCCAGAACTGGACACAGTATTCCAGCTGAGTCCTCACAAATGCCGAGTAGAAAGGGGAAATTAACTCCTGTGTCTGGCATATGACATTCCTGTTAATAGACCCCAGAATGATATTAGCCTTTTTTTGCAACTCCATCACATTGTTGATTCATTCAATTTGTGATCCACTATGACCCCCAAATCCTTTACAGCACCATTACCACCTAGCTAGTTCTTCCCCATTTTGTGCTTTATTAATTTGTATTACTGTAGCACCTACATGCTTTAGTTATGGGCCATGACCCTCCTGCAGCATTGCAAGAGGGAAGGGGGCCTTCAGTGGCCACTGGCAGAGAACCCCCGGCCCCATACTGTAACTTACATCAGGGCTCACACACTCATTGCCCCAACACACTATTGCCACAATAGCTCTCTCAAAGGTGTCATCTAAGGTATCATATGTAAACTGGCAACACACTGGTTCTGAAAATCATTGTGTGATGTATGCACAGATTGTATACAAAGAGTTGTAGATGTGTGCTGGAAATAGGATTTTAAAAATGCCTTTGGGAGGCACAGAATGAACCCAGACAAAAATGTACATTTACTTATGTGACCTGTTTGGTTACAGGCAAAAGGACAACAGAAATACATTTACACGTATAGTAAACAGACATCAAGCTAAACGAGATGGGGAGAAGACCATTTAACAACCACGCTGGGGGACAGAATCTGCACCCCAAGAAATCTTTCTGAGAAAGACAATGGACTTTGAAGTACTATAAAGGGGAGCAAAGAGACAGTTTAGTTACCCTTCACCTAAGGGTCGATAGGGTATAGCACCTGTTGTGCCTATTAAAGCTGATCCTCTTGGCCTGAAAAGCAAGAGTGGTGGAAACTTCACTGTAAGCGAGAAACTTGCTTACACAAAGATTGTAACTTGCTGAAATTAAGTTTTAGTCACTAGAAAGTGTTTTATTTGCTTTGTAACCCCACTTGTCTTCTATTCATATTCAGGAGGGAGGGATAGCTCAGAGGTTTGAGCATTGGCCTGCTAAACCCAGGGTTGTGAGCTCAATCCTTGAGGGGGCCACTTAGGGTTCTAGGGCAAAATCAGTACTTGGTCCTGCTAGTGAAGGCAGGGGGCTGGACTCAATGACCTTTCAGGGTCCCTTCCAGTTCTATGAGTATAATATAATATAACTTATATTTATTAGTAGTAGTAGTACTACTTCAATCTCTGTTCTTGTTTAATAAACTCAGTTTTGTAATAAAACAAGAATATCTCTGTGTCGTGTATTAAACTGGAAGGTGAGTCCTCAACAAGCAATATAGGCTGGTGTGTACATTTTCGCTTTGGAGGCAGTGAACTTAATTTCTGTGAATGTCCAGTGATGAGGGACTGGACACTCCAGAGAAACATCTCTGGGTAACTCAGGAGTTGGGATTCACGGAGTTACACAGGGGCTCACAATTCTGGGTACCCCAAGCAGGAGGTCACACATCTGTCTATACATTCTATATTACAGGAACAGTTTTCCTTAAAATCCTCTTGGGAGTCTTTATTAACTATTTGTACTACCATGGAACCTAGAAGCTCGAGATATAGACCAAGACCCCCATCGCACTAGGCATTGTATAAACACAGTAGTGGCCCATGTTAAAGGTTAATGGAGTGAGGGAGGAGCAAATGCACATCTCTGCTGCTGCTACTGTTTGGTTTGATTCTGTCAAAGAAGTGCATAGGGTAAAACCGTAAAAGCTATCTTCATGCCAGAAAAGCCTAGCCTGCTATGTACTAAGGCCATGTCTACACTACAGCTGTTACAGCAGTACAGCTATGGCACTGCAGCTGTGCCACAGTAGCATCATAGTGTAGATACTTTCTACAGCAATGGAAGGGGTGTTTTGTCAATGTACCTTTCCAAGAGGGGGTAGCTAGGTTGAAAGAAGAATGCTACCATTGACCTTGCCATGTTTACACTGAAGGGATTAGGATCAACCTAACTATAGGACTCAAGGTGCAAAAATGCCCTCAGTGATATTGATTTAATTTTTAAGTGCAGATCAGGCCTGATTTTCTGTGTGGACCCTGCTGCCGCACTCTACTCCTATTTCAAAGAGGGGTAGCTCTTGGGAACTGTTAATGAACGGCAGCAAGGTCTAACCAGATAATCTGCATAGACAAGCCCTATGAGACTTGCAGTCTCCTCCCTGCAAAGCTTCCCAGTAACAACTAAGATCAGCAGCCTGTATGTCTGCTAGGGAGAAAGATCAGTTCTCCCCATTCCCTAGTACGTCACATAAGCAGAGACTCATTAGACTCAGCTAACATCTTATCGCCTACAACTTCAAAAACTTATGCTCCAGTCGCCTGATGAGTTCAGGAAAGCTCAAGGATTTTTTCTTTCAACTTAAAAAAGGTTGGGGTTTTTCGCTCAACAACTAAAAAAAAATCCTGTAAGCATGCTCAGTGGACATCTAAGTGCCCAATACTGCTAAGACTTGTGCTCATAAATGACTTTATACACCTGAATAATCCCATGGTGAGACCCAAAATGTACACTGAACAGGCTAAAAAAAAAAAAAAAAAAAAAAAAATCTCCAGTGTCTTATAATACAAGAACAAGGCATTTTGCTCAAAATGTCCAAAATAATTGACCTCATTGCTCAGACCAGTTATAGAAAATCTCAACTCCAAAAGCAGAATTTTCAGGAAGTTATAAATAAATGAAAATATAAAGGCTATATAAACAACTCTAGTTAAATCTTTACTACAGCATTTGCAACTTACAACAATAGTATTGAATAAGTTATTTCTGTTTAAAATGCACCCATGCAAAGTTCCAAAAATCCTTGTATTTGATAAACACCTAATTACATTTTAAAATGTAATTAAACTGTTAATATAATATGATTAAAATAAGTATGGAACAAAGATCTAATAAGTGTTTATCTCCAGCTATAACATTAAGCCACCACATGTGTTCTAATATAGATAAAATTTCATAAAGTAAACAGGACAGCACTCCTCAATTCATACAAACAATCTTCTAGTGTGGATTAGTTTAGATCATTTTTTCTGTACCTGTAGAATGGAGTACACTTTCTGATGTAGTAATGAAGGTATGAAATAAAGATTTTTTTCATTGTGTGAGCCAACAGTAGTAAATGCAGTCCTGTACACTATATGTTAGTTATGTCAAAAACGGAGAAAGTCAATAAGAACACAGTAAACTATCATTATAGCTTTATTATCCATCCCCTTAATTAAATCTACAATCATTTAGCAAAGCTGAGATGTTATGGAACAGCAGGAGACTCATTCTGTAATCATGTTCCGTTTTATCCATTAACATTTTATTTACACAATATTAAAGAAAACACATTAAACAGGAGAGAATAAAATTGAGGGGGGAAGTGCATTCGGTACCTGTAACACTGATTGTACTCCGGCTCGTATATTTTGCTCAGCAATATCTATTTCCGATATTTTATGGGAAGCATCTTGGTGGCAGCCATTTCTTGTCCAACTTGAATTTTGAACATGACCAGAGTTTGTCATTTTTTCCTGAAGAAGCATAAAAATATTTTGTTTCTTAAACTCCCGGAGGAAAAAAACCAAAACAAAAAAATTGGTTTTTGCCCCCCCCCCTTTTTTTTTTTAATAAAGTAAAAGGAGAAAATATGAGCTGAAAATGACTCCTAAAAGAGCAGCCTGCCTCCCAGAGACTGGGAAATGGAAGAAGAAGGTGTATGTCCAGGCATCTTAAAAAAAGGATACAATGTAAAAGAGAGTCACAGAACAAATATTCAAAATAATAGGGGGAAATTACCATATATACTCGATCATAAGCCAGTTCGTTTATAAGCTGACCCCCCCCCCCAAGATGGATAAGTAAAAATGGAAAATGTTTATGACCCGTTCATAAGCTGACCCTATAATTCAGGGGTCAGCAAACTTTGACTCCCGGGCCATCAGGATAAGCCGCTGGCGGGCCGAGATGGTTTGTTTATCTCGAGCGTCCACAGGCATGGAGGTAAATCTCAGTAAACGAAGTGTCCCAGCGCGCCAGCTGCTTACCCTGGCGGGGCGGGACAGCAACTGGTGGGGAAATTTTGGGGGGGGGGGGAGAAGCTGGGGGTCAGGGGAGTAACCCCTGTAACCACCCCCCACATAACCCCACCCCTAGCCCAGGACCCCCACACTCTCCCCATTCCCTCCCTTCCCACCTTATCTGGGGAGGGCCAGGGGAGGATGTCTCTCGCCTGGCTGGAGCTGCTCCAGCAGGCTGGGCAGCACAGCCGCAGCCTGCTCCGGTGGGCCAGATGGGGCAGTGCGGCCGCAGCATGTTCCAGTGGGCTGGGCAGCACGGCCGCAGCGTGCTCTGGCGGGCAGGGCCGAGTGACACGGCCACAGCGTGCCAGCCCCGGAGCTGCAGCTGCTTCGGAGGCTGGGGGGAGAGCAGCGTGGCCAGAAGCGGAGAGACTCTGGCCCCCCGCCTCTTCCCTTCTGGCTCTGCTGCCTCTCCTTGCTCCCTCTGTTGGGGGGGGGTGGGGAGGAAGAGGAGCTGTGTCCCACCTCTCCCTCTCTATACCCGTTCATAAGCCGACCCCCTTCACTGGTGTTTCCCTTTTTTACTAAACAATTTGGCTTATGAACGAGTATATTCAGTAATTGCTACTTTGTCTCATTCTGCTTGGAACTATTTTTCATATAGTGTAAGGATATAGTGCACAAAACCATCTCCCTAAGTTAGTTTATAGTTAGCAATGAACCATAAGGTAATCTGTATGGATACAATTTTGTCACAGTAAAATTAGGCAAAATTTACAGAGCAGTCATGGTAAAAATGTACAAAATCAGGATATGCCCAAGCCAGAGCCAAAGAAGTCACTGAATCCGTGACCAAATCACATCCTTACTAATAAGCCATACTAGGGAGTACACTAGGCTCCTTGTACTGAAGTCACTGGGGAATTTTGCAGTAGAATTAAAATGTGCGAAGTCAGGCCGCAAGGGCATTTGGCTTTCACCCTGTGCATACTTTATTTATTTATTAAAACCAATGAAAATGCTTATGCTTATAGCTATTTTGAAGGGAATTGAAAAAAATAACCACAGCATTTAAAGATGGTAAAGGTCTGACTATTAGCGAAACTTATTATTTTGTTTTTGGTCCCCAAACTGAGGAGTTTTCTTTTAGGAAGCTCTTGGTAGGAGAATACACAGTGTCAAGTTCTAAATATAAACATAATCACTAACATTAAATTCCATTATTATAATTTAGATTAGGATTTGGTTTTCAAAAAGGCATATGAGTAGTTAGGTGCCTGGCTTCCAATTGAAAGTTAATGAGACTGTCTGTGCCTTTGAAAATCTCCCCCTTAAATTTAATTTAAAATAGGATTTTTCTCTATTTGGTTTGTTTTATTTAATGCTGGCCCCTAGAAGTCAGTTACTGCTGAGTTAAAAAAAAATGTCTGGTCATTTGCATAAACAATCTGAACAGAGAACCAATATGAAGGGGAGGTGGAGGCATGAATTGAAGGATTTGGCAACATAGCTTTTATGGGGGGGGAGGCACCTTTACTGTGCTGCTACTCTATTTACTCATACCTGAGGGGACAGATTTGTGCCCTTCACAGTTTTCACCTCAATATTTCCTTTCATTCCTCTTTTCCAACTCCTGCACCAACCAGACTGCTATGTGGAAACGAAGTACATATGCTAAATAGTTCAGGAAATGAGACATCTATTTAACAATGGTCTTTTTAAATTTGAAGTCTATTTTTTTTTTTACCTCATCTCTCTCTTTTCCCTTCTCTGCTGAATTATGTTCTGCAACATTTTCATCACCATCTATATTTACAGATGTCAATATTTCTTCAGGTTCTTTCATAAATAAAGGCTTATCTTCCTGTTGGATCCATTCTTGGTAAACCTTCACCACTTTCCTCATAGCAGCTGCTTCACAAATTGGCAACAAAAATGCCTAGTTGGGGGGGGAGAAAAAAGTTATAATATTTGGAGACATGTTAGAATCGAACTACGTTATCTCACCATACTGCTAGTAGTAAACATTTTCAGGAACATGCATTTCAATTTATGGATATGATACGAAGATAGAAAGTTGACGTGACTTAATTTTATAAAAAAAGTTTTTAGGACTCACTATACTGTACATTCTGTCTCTTTGGGGGAAAGGAAAAGCAAGAAACATCCAACTCACTTCTTTCAACTGTAGGAAAGCTCCCACCCCAGACATCATGCTCTACAGATGAAGAAACTGCTGCAGCCACTCTGCAGGAATTTAAACAAATGCTGATTTACATCAGTATTAATTTATTAACTTTCCCCATCTGCAATCTGGAACACCCTGAAAGTCAGGAGGAGGGCGAAGGGGGAAGGACAGAAAAAGGTTTTTGAGGAAAAAGTGACACCTGGCAAAAAAGCTGTGCTGCTAGGGAGCTGGATGTAGTTAGCAGGGAAAGGGAGCAGCGGCCAGTGGTACTCCATGCGGACCTGCTCCTGCATAGATCTTAGGGGCCCTGCTGATCCTGAACACCAAATTCTCATTAAAAGAAAAGAAAAGAAAACTCAGTGGAAGCTTCTGCTGCATCCAGTCCCAAACATGGGGGGAGAAAGAGTAAAGGGCAATAGGGTTCTTAATTATATTAGCCATGTGAATTTGCACTGATAACAAAAAGCCATGTTTTACTGCTGCTATGAATGAGTGGCGCAAATCAGATGACAGAAAAAGCATTTTTCTAACTATAGTTATGAAAAAATGTATGTCAGGAAGCCAGTTTGCTTGCAAGATGCTGCCCTCTTCAGGAAGTATTATGTAACTGTGGGGCTAATACAAAAGTGCTCTCAGATCAGCCATCTCTAATGTAAGTCTTGGGGTTCTGCTAAACTTAACTATGTTTAAAGACAGTCTACGTTAATGCAATATACTTACTGGAAATTTAACTTTCTTTTAAATTCACAACTTTACCAGCTTGTGCACTTTTACTATACTAGTTGTATTAAAAAGAATAAAATAAACTGAACCAGTGTGCATTTCCCAGGAGCCATTGGATATACCAATATCCCAAAGAAATGCATGATTCTTGATATGAACAACTCATTCTCAACTTCAGGACTGAACACTTTAAAGGAGTATCAGAATGGCACCCAGCTATTCTGTGACTTCAAAGTCAGCTAAAAAGTAGGACAGGCAACTGCTATCTTTTAGAGTTTCTTATATTTTTGCTTTGTAACACAGAATGCCCAATAGCTTTCAAAGTGCAGGAAATATGATGTGGCTGAGGGAATGTTGCCACACCTGCTGGGCCACTGTTATTAATGGATTCACAGACTCCAAAGCCAGAAGGGATCACTATGATCATCTTGTCTGACCTGTGTGTACAGCCTGTAAAAATTTTTTTTCTAGAAACTGGATTAAGACAGGTCTTTTAGAAAGTCATCTAATCTAATTCTAAAGACGCCATAGGATGGTGATTCCATAATCTCAACTGGGGTAAGCTCCTCTGATGTTTAATTACCCTCAGAGCAAGGAAATTGAGTCTTATTTCCAAGTTGAGTTAGCGTACCTTCAACTTCCAGCCACTGGAACTTGTTATGCTTTTGTCAGCAAGATTGAGAAGCCCCTCGCTATCAGATATTTTCCATGTGTAAATATCCATACACAGTGATCAAGTCACCTCTCAACCTTCTCTGATAAGCTAAACAGATGGAGCTCCTTAAGCTTCACTTCACATTATTGTTTTCCAGCCCTTGAAACATTTTTGTGACCTTTCTTCAAACTCTAACATTCCCACATCATTCTTCAACTGTGGACACCATATCTGGGCACAGCATTCTTGCAGCTGTTTTACCAATGCTGTGTACAGAGGCAAGGTCAGTTCTCTACACCCATTTAATAGTCACCTTGTATACGTCCAAGGATCACATCAGCACTTTCTGCCACAGCAGTGCACTGCGTGCTCACTGAGGCGGTCATCTACAACAATCCCAAAATCCTTTTGAGTTACTGATTCCCAAGACAGTGTCCCATCCCATAGGTATAGCCTGCATTCTTTGTTCCCAGATGTAGTAACCTTGCATTCAGCTGTATTAAAACACATTTTGTAGGATTGTGACCATTTAACTAGGAGATTCAGATCACTCTGTAGTAGCAACCTGTTCTCATTATTTACTATCTCACCACATAGAGTGTTATCTGCAAACTGTATAAAGATTTTATATCATCATCTAGATAGTGGATAAAAATATTGAGTAATATTGGACCAAAAAAAAAAAAAAAATCAATCCCTAGGGGACCTTGCTAGTAATGGGGAGACAGCAGTAACTGGGGCCATTAAGAGCTACATTCTGAGATCTGTCAGTGAACCAGTTTTTAATCCGTCCAGCATGTGCCATGTTTGTTTGACAAGATCTAATCTTCCATGAAACCATGTTGATTGACATAAGAGGCTAAAAATATACTTTTGTTGACTGAGTTCTGAATTAACCATTCCATTATTTTACTTGGGATTGACATCAGGCTAACCAGTCTATAGTTCCCTTGGTCATTCCTTTTACTCTTTTTTAAAATATTAAAGATACATTGGCAGTCCTCAATTCCTCAGTTTTCCAAGATTTGTTAAAAATTAACATCGTGGGTAAGAGAAAGCCTCAGCTAGAGCTCCTCAGATATATCCAACAGTCTTAACGGGACTAAGTTATCCAAATGTTTAATTTTAGCAGATGCTGACTTGCAACCTCCTTTGTTACATAGTAAACTTTCTATTCCATCCATAACATCAGAAGCAGTTGATACATCTTCCTGTTTTGTTTCAGATACAGAACAGAATTATCTACTGAACATTTTTGCCTTTTCTGCATTACTATTTATAATTTTATCATCTGCATCCAGCAATGGACCTATGCCTGACCTAGGGTTCTTTTTGCTCCTAATATGTCAGTGATGGCCAAACCATGCTCATGAGCCACATGCGGCTCTTTTACAGTTAAGTGCGGCTCAAAGAGTCCCCTGCCCCTCCCCCCCCATTCTCTGCCTATCAGACTGAGGGGGTTGTGCCTCAGGGCTTCTGAACTGAGGTGGGGTGGTGGGGCTAGGGGCTTCTGTCCAGCAGGGAGGGAGGTGTGCCTGCCAGGGCTCAGAGCTTCAGCCCTGCTCCTGCTGAAGTCCCTAGCCCTGGCAGGCGCACCTCCCCTCCTGCAGAGTTGAAGCCCCTAGCCCCAGCAGGTAGCCCCCCCCCCCCACCCCCACTCGCAAGGCTGAAGCCCTGACAGATGCACCTGGCTCTTGAACTTCTGAAAATTACTGTACACAGCTCGAAGGGTCAGTAAGTTTGGCCACCCTGTAATATGTTTTGAAAATACAGTACTTCCTCCCCCCTACTCTGTTGGCCATTGATATTTTCATGTGTCTCATCTGAAGAGTGAGCATGTAAAAGTGGATGGAGCAAGCAGCCAGACACAGAACCCTAAGGTTGACCTCCCCTTCACATTTCAGGTGGCATGAGAATGGGCTCAACAAGTCTAATAGCCTTTTAAAGCTCAACCGACCCATATCTGCCTAATTTTCTGTGGTCTGAGTGCATTCTAAGGTATAAAGCTCTCTAAGGTAGGGACACTCTTTTCACCTCATGTCCTAGGTGCTATGCAGACAACCGGAGCTTGATCCCAGGGTGTCTAGGTACTACTGTAATAAGAATAAATACTAAAAATACAGCCCTTGAGTGCAAGAAATTTGAACTGAACATGCAATGAAATACAGGCATTTAACCAAAAACTACCCAGTTTACATGTATGCATTTCCAGAAAAGTGTCTAAATGAATAGTGCACCTATTTGAAAATGCACATTTCAAGATTTAGATGCTTTACTGAGAATGTTCAGTATGGCATTTTCAAATAGAAACTTAATTTGAACCCAAACTTTTCATATTCAGCTACGGACACACTTCACAGTGAGGACCACATATTTACACTGCAAGTTTGAAATGCAAATATTTAGGTTGCTTCAGTAAAGTGTAAAATCTAGCAAACAGATTCCACCTCTTGCCATCCTCACTGTATAAATGAAAAACAGAGGAAGGGATTTTTCTAAAACTTTCTCAAAGAAAAAAAAATTTCCCACAGCTCAGCCCAAATCTGGAACTGACTGTAGGAGCTAAGAAAATTTTATGCTAAAGAAAAAAGGAGTTGAACAGGTTGCTTATTTTGACTCCCTCCTCAAATCTGCAATGCCTTCTTCACTAACTTTGAGCATTGTTTGAAGTGTTTTTAATAAATACACCAATCATTTCTTATATAATGGAAAGTTATTTTCCTCCTAATTACACAAGGTTTAGATACTGTTTGAAAACTAAACTTCTCAAATTCTCTTTTTACTGCATTAAACTAAGATGATCAACACATGATTTGATCATCTTAAATGCTCTCATACTAGAGTAAGATATCAAAAAATAAATTAACTGATTCACCTAAAAATATAGTAGAATGATGCATTAGTACTAATTCACATTGACTAGTATTTAAGTTATATTTTAATATCAGAATATTTTTCATTCATCTTCATGTGAAGTTCAAACATTTTCCAGCGTTTTCAATTTCCCTTCATTGCAATGAAACAGCAAACTAGCAATATAACTAATTAGAATGTTAGTTTACCACAGTGAGTGACAACTTCGTTTTAACAGCGAATACCCTTCCCTTGCTCTAGCTCTCACCAGTAAGTTTTCTTTAAGCAGAACAAATGAAGTAAGTTTCACATTGTATCTTACTGTGTTTTTAACCTTATATGTTGTCAATTTTGTATAATTTATAGGTTCTTAGTCACAAGCAACTGGTAAAAGGGCCTCTGAAATCTTTAACCTGTTTTTATTGTCTGACTAAGATATTCTTTTAAGTGAACTTCATAAAGTCCTACTTAAGCATGTACAATTACAGCATCCTACCATTCTTCCACATTACTTCACGGATACTTTTACAGCACTGGTTAAATTATGCAACTGCGTACAATAGTGCTCTTGTAAAGTTTCATTATACTTTAAATTCTTAGGATCTGTGCATTTACCCTCTATCTTATAGGAAAGACATAGGAACAGAACTACTCCTTTGCCCACTTCCATTCATCTTTGTTTGATCCTTGCCATTTTTCCAGATTCATAATGAGGCAGGGAACAGCTAGGCAATCCAGATGGAGGATTTTTGGCTCCCAATACAGTTAATACAGTGAACCCAGATAACTTTGCTAAAATTGTCCACATTACATGAAGTCAAAGTTATGGCACTCAAGTGATGAAAAAACAAAACAAAACCAGGAACCAGAGGTAGATTTTTCATATTAGTTGTTTTTAATTAGCTTTTGCTTTCTACACAAGAGAGAGTGTGATGTGGAAAACAGATGGCAAACTTTGCTGAACAAAAAACAACGTGTTTACCATCGGCCTAAATTTAAAAAGAACAATGTAAATAAAAACAAGGAGTCTGGTGGCACCTTGTTGTTTTTGTGGATACAGACTAACACAGCTACCCCTGATACTTGACACCATGAGTGTAAATAAAGACACAATCAAAGTTTTTACACCTATGTACACTCTTACTTAACACAACCTATTTGAAACAAAAGCTATAAATGATCAGGGTTTAAATTTAAAAAAAAAAAAAAAAAAATTCTTCCACACTTGAGGGTTTCTTTACCTGTCGAAATATCTCTGTAAGAAAGTTTACATTACTTCTTTTAGAAGAAAAGACTTTGCGGACTATTTCAATATCAGTTAGATGCTCTTCATCAATACTACAAAGGCTGGAGGAACTTGGTTCTCTCTCTGTTAGGGTGCTTGTATTAGAATGAGATTGTTCTGGCTCTGCATTTCGATCCGGTCTATCAGCACTGTCGTTTCTACTGTCTTCTCTAGAAGCCATGCTAGCAGCTGCTCTCTGAAACAAAAGAGCAAGAAAATAGTTTTGTAATACAATTTGAATACAATTCTTAAAACAGCACAGAGAATTCTGCAGACAATGTGAGAAAAGTATCTCAAAGCACTACATATTTACTAGGTTATGTAGAAAGTTAGTGGTTGTCTGAAGCCAGTTAAAGTACAGATCTCAAGCACAAGGGAAGTCCAGTTATTGTCCAGTCAGATCAATAACCTTTACTAAGAATTCTAATCTGTGTTTCCTTCATTCAGTTTGCTAACCTATAATTTGACATTTCTTGGGAGTATTTAGAAGTATTATCACAAAAAACCCAGTCTTACAAAACCTCAGCAAACAGAGCCAGTGAGGTCAAATAGAATTTGGATTGCTGGACTGGGCTTTAAGGAAAACTGAGCATATCACCCTATGCAGAGAAATTACTGTAGATTTACTTCAACAATTCACCAAAAAATAATTTACAGATAAAAACATTTCTTTAGGTGAATGAAAACAGTACTTCACAGTATATTTCTATTATTTTGGTAGAAAAACCAAAGATTTAAATATTTGGCGATTCTTTCCAAATTGGATTCAGGTCTTGAGATTTCATTTAAAAACAAATAGCCTTTCTTCAATTAGCTAAAACCAAAAGGTATGTCTACACAGCCGATGCAGTGCTTTAACATGGCTGTGTAATCCAAGCTCCAGTGCTGGGAGAGAGCTCTCCCAGTGCTGTAATAAAACCACCTCCGTGAGGGGAATAGCTACCAGCACTAGGAGCCGCGGCTCTCAGCACTGTAGCACTATCTACACTGCCACTTTACAGTGCTGAAACTTGCATCGATCGTGGTGTGTTTTTTCACACCCCTAAGCGAAGAAAGTTTCGGCGCTGTAAGTGGCAGTGTAGACAAGGCCTAAGAGAAACATACAGTGGTAGAATTTCAGTGTTGACATCACAACAGAAGACTACTAAGAAGTCTTTCAAAATAAAGAAAAGCTATTTGAAATGTGCATTTGGTGATACCTGAATATTCTTTGGCACAATTTCACCACCTTCCATCCCAGGAATATGAGGTCCTGTATGAGGTTTTGGGTCAAGCCAGAAAGACACCAGCCATCGAATGACAATAACACGAGCCTTAAGGAAAGGTTCCTTTGTGCAATATATCGCTTCATTGGTTTCAGCATCTTTCTTTACCATTACATAGTGCGGCTTTGGTCTCATTTGTGGTATCTCTGTGATGAAAAGCAAGCATTTTAAAATTGGCCTCAGAAGAAAGGCCTATCACCTCAAAGCCCTATCCCAGAATTTCTGGGTTTTTGAAACTCCCAGTGCAGCACAATCATTGATTCCACAAGGGTATGGGACAGTCTCTCTCAAGTGCAGTAAAAGGGTAGAGCATTAAGCTTCAAAAGGCAGCCCCTAGAAATTGTATTATTGGCCTAGAAGGCTGCAAACATTTTCCTATTGGATGAACTGCTCCATTTACCGTTTCTTTATGCTCTCATAAACAATTCTTAACAAGTAAAGCTTAATTTATACAGTACCTTTTTATCCAGAGGATTCCCTAAGCTGTTTTAAAATTACGTACTCTATTGAGGAATTCTATAGCCTGCCACTGATATGGAATGAAACCCAGCAAAATTTTAACAGCAAACAGCAACACTACACCACTGTTCAGAACAAAAAGTAAAGGAAACCACCTTCCAATTAAAACTACATGAGCAATTTTAAGTGGCAGAATGCAATTACCCAAACTGGACTTTGGCCCAAACAAGCACAGCATTTTCATTTAGGGTGGGAAGAAACTGTCGTAGGTTTATTTAGAAATGAAAAATTGTTTATAATTGATCAAATAGGTTATTGAGCAACAATTCATAGATGAAGTAATTCACCCATTTTGCAAAGGGTTATTTCATACCACTTAAATCCTGTGGTTGAACCTCTAAGGGTTGTGGGGGGGAGAATGCAGGTGAATCAGATGCAAAGTGATGTCAACACACTCCTTAAGTGGGACAGAAAAGGTATCCTTGCTGGTCTATGTGGGTCTAGTGTGGAAGGTCATGAAGGGAACAGGCGGTGGTCATACTAAAACAAGCATCATGAAATCTAGGTTGATGTAGATCCACGGTTCCAGCACCCCTGGCATGGTGGGTTCAGGGCCTCTATTCTAGTCCATAGGCTTTAATAGCAGTTTTGAGGAACAGCCCTTGCTGACCTTTGTGGAGGCCAGCAAGTGGGAGGAAAGTATGTGGCATGAATTTCACCTCCCCAACTTATAGGCTTTGTTTAAATAAGGATGTAAAGGTGTGTTGTTAAATTGGGTTAGCTAGCTCAATCTAACCAACACCTTTTAAAACTCTAGTTAACACAAGGCAAGTTATATTTTAACATATGCAAAATTTGTCAATTTAGAGTTTGGGAGATGCCAAGCTCTTAACATGACCAGACTAGCACATGCTAACATATAATTTGCATTGTCTTGACTAAACTTTAGACGGTATTATGGAGTCCAACTGATCTGGCTCTGTGTCAATGGAGTGGATATTACCCAATGAGCAACACTGCTAATTTCTTTTGGATCCACAGAACTAACAGGTTTTTTTTCTCTTCTAAATGTAATTTATCCATGATTCAGGGTGCATTAAGTTTGATTTTTTTTTTTTTTTTTAAACTTGGTTCTTAGAGCAGTGAGTGTATCCAAATGACTTATATGGTTTAGATGGAACAGCAGACTGCCTCCTGGGATAGAAGCTTGGCACTACGATTGACTCACCTAGAAGCTGAAGAGTGAGTAACATTTTGGAGAAGAGGAACTTAAGACAAACTTGAAAAGATCTTGTCTAATTTTTTAGAAACCTGAGATTAATTCTTAAGTGGATGGAAATAGATAATGCTCTCCTTTCCCCTCACTGCCCTTGATCCTTCTGCTCCTTTCCCTCCCATCCCATTCCTTTATGTTTTGTTCTTTAAGTTATTCCCTTCTGTTGTCCCCAGATTTTAGGAACGTAGGGTGAAATCAAAAACTATAAATTTTTAAAAATGATTTTTTTTAAGTATGTAAGAGTTACCTTAATTTATTTAAAGTGAACCAGAGCAATACAGCATCCTGGCTCTTAAATAATTAAAAAAAAAGAGAGGTCAAGCGGTGCTTCCATTAATACAGGTGAACTCAATAGAACTGAAAACATACATTATAGATAAAGGCCACATTTCCTAACAGATCCAAGTTCTCTGCAGGCAGCATCACTCAAAAAAAAAGCTGCAACTCTATATTGCAAGTTACAAAATGTTTAAGCATCTGTAAAATCATTAAACAACACTTACCAAGTACAGGGTTATACAAACTGGTCTCCTTACAGATGTTTGGAAAAATATAAGGCAAGTAATATTTTTTAAAATATGAAAACAAGAATGAAAATCCCTTTTCTTGGTTTTCCTTGTTCTTCCATTCTAAACTCTTAACCTTAAAGAAAAAAATTAATTTTTTTGAGGTTGAAACGTGGGAAATATTGAAACAAATATTCCAAGTATATCAAATGTTTCAGAACTTTGCTGTAGTGTTTTTTTTAAGTTGTCAAAAGTCAAACAAATTTCAGTTTTAATTAAATTAAAGATCAAATGCATTTTCAAGATTTGCTAAACGGAGCAAAGATAAAGTAAGAGGAGAGATCCTATTGCTTAATTATACAAGAGAGATTATTACATTAGGACTGGATTGTATGCATTTTAATAATTATGTTACATTTTCAAAATGGTGGGAGGGACTAGCTAGCTGAGAGATTAATATGACTATGCAAAGCTTTTCCTCTAAGCTCTAGATTCAGCAGAATACTTAACCATAATTTTAAGCACATGTAGAATCCCACTGAAATCAGAGATTACACATATTTTTAAGAGTATCAAGCCTGAGGTGGCCCCTCCAGAAGTTGGTTTAATTTGTAGTAAATCATCCTTCTGTTTCAAAGTTACCTTCTAAAATAGAAAAATATATTTGTGCTTACCTGAAAAATGCCTCTCTTTTTTTGTGCAATAATGTCCAGAGATCTGTTACAATGGTTACTTCAGCCTGCTTGCAGCTCGAGAGCAAAACCAGACCTGTCGATCACTGACAGCCAGGGTATGCTCTGTTTTCTGAAGTTCCTTCCAATTCAGGTAACTTCTACAGCCAGGATAATTCAAATATACTTTCTTAAATTACAGACTGAGTAAATATGCTTTGAGAAAAAAAGTCAATTTCTCCTCTGCGTAATATGGTAAATTTGACCTACTGACAACATATCCAAATCCTTGAATATCAGTTTACATCTCTGTCCTGGATAATACACTTGTCTCCAGAATGGACTAGATCTGTGGACCTTATTACTCAAAGGAGGAAATTTTCAGGTAAGCACTGAAAAGTTTTCCTATGCTTCTTCATGCTAAGGTCCACAGACCCATTACAATGGGATTTTCAGAGCAGTGCCCTTTCAGAGATTATCCTTCAGATATGGACATCCAAAACAAGATACTTGTATATAATCTCTCTCCTCCATCTAGTCAAGGGCAGTAAGACACCGAGAACTCTTCTGCAAAAGAAAGTTAGTGGCATTGGCTATGATTGGATGACCAATCTGCAGAACTTGGTCAACTGATGGCCATCTGCAGATCTCAGTACAGGACGACTCTGCTCTGCAATTGTGAGTGCTCCTAAGAACTGGACTCTGATGTTTAATTGAAGTAAGAACTGTTCTTGAATTTACTCATGGAATGGATGCCATGACACAATTACGAACAGTTCCTGTTTGAATTAAAAGTATAATGGGACTTTGTTAGAGAAAGCTCCCAACCTGAATTAAAAAAAACCTCATTGGGAAGCCTACTCTAATGGATAGCAAATATAATGACACTTTCTTCAGAGATTCAATCTGGGTAGTGCTGGAAGATGCAGAATGAGGTTCCAAGAACATACTGAATGACCTTGCAGAGTTGGAATCAGGTGGATGCCCAAATGAAGCATTTAATATTGGATTGTACAAAACTTCCTTTTCTTTAAAATGTTGAGAATATTATACCTTAGCTTAGCAGAATTTGATTCTTATAATTTCTACAAATAAAAATAAATATTAATGTTAAGCATTTTTTTTTTATTTTTATGGATTTTAAATTTTCACAGTTGTGAAAAATTATGGGGAGGACAGTCAATGAGGTGATTAGACAATGAATGTGCAGATTGTTTCTGTGACACCACATCATTAGGGCCATCTTCATCTTGTTAACATTCTCCTCAAATAAGACCTTGTGCCCAATAGTATTCATCTTCCCCAGGCCTATGACTGACTTTCCTGGCACCGTGTGTCTGTTTGACCTGAATCAAAAGACAGTTCAGGAACCAAATCACTCTATATATTCTTCAGTCTTCTCTCTCCAGAACCCTGACCAAAAATATTTTCCAGGAAGAGACAAGTAAATTTCAGTCTTCTCTAAAGCCAATAATATTGCTACTATGATCCCAGAGACAAACCCTGGAATCACGTCAGTTCAAATGATAATGGTCAAATTTGGAAAAAGAAAGGCTGCCACCTGGCTGCAAAACATAATTGTCTGAGGATGGTAAAATGGGAATTCTTGAAGAAAAATCTCCTTTAGGAACTTAGATGATTCAGCTGTGCTCTGTTTGTTCTCAATTCTCAGAGGACAGAAGTAGGATGGGGAGAGGGCTTTAATGTTCTGATCTGAAGAAAGATTATGGATGATTTCATTCATGTAGTGGCCTTTCCATGGGTTGTTGAGACTGGGAGTGGGACAGAGCTGTTTCTAAAATTCTTGCACAGCTCCACAGGGTCTCACCTCTGGACAATATCCAGTGACCCCATCTGATCAAAGCTATACAGATAGCTCTAGTATTCCCTAACTGAGAAAGCCTGGCATTACATGGGGTTTTACTCCACATGCAGCTGGATAGGAGGCTTGCAAATATCTCTGAATAGAGATGAGCAAGAGAGATCAGTTACTGACCCTCCACTTGTTCTAGCTGTCTCTTACAAAGAGGTATTTTCTCCTGTTGTGCTTCAGACTGCTTCAATTTCCCATATCACCAGTATTCCTTTCCACAGTACCTGGCAGGAGTCAGGACTGTGACTTTACTGATGACTGAATAGTCTCAGCTTTCCATAAAAGTTTTCAACAGTATCACTCAGACAGCTGGGAACTGCGTTGTCCCAAGAACCAGAGACTCATATATACCTGCATGAAACAGATTTGAATCCAATTTCCCCCTCACTCACTTTTTATCCAGGGAGAAGCTCTTGGTCACACAATTTTGAGTCCCATATTACCTGTAATTAGGGCTGTCAATTAATCGCAGTTAACTCACATGATTAACTCAAAAAAATTAATCACATTGTTAAACGATAGAATACCAATTGAAATTTATTAAATATTTTCAGATGTTTTTCTACATTTTCAAATACATTGATTTCTATTAGAACACAGAATACAAAGTGTACACTGCTCACTTTATTATTATTTTTTATTACAAATATTTGCACTGAAAAAAAGAAACAGTATTTTTCAATTCACCTCATACAAGTACTATAATGCAATCTCTACCATGAAAGTGTAACTTACAAATGCAGATTTTTTTTTTGTTACATAACTGCTCTCAAAAACAAAACAATGTAAAACTTTAGAGCCTACAAGTCCACTCAGTCCTACTTCTTAGTCAGCCAATTGTTAAGACAAACAAACTTGGTTACAATTTCCAGAGATAATGCTGCCTGCTTCTTGTTTACAATATCACCTGAAAGTGAGAACAGGCATTCGCATGGCACTTTTGTAGCCAGCGTTGCAAGGTATTTATGTGCCAGATATGCTAAACATTCGTATGCCCCTTCATGCTTCGGCCACTATTCCAGAGGCTATGCATCCATGCTGATGATGCTCGTTAAAATATAATGCGTTAATTAAATGTGTGACTGTACTCCTTGGGGGAGAACAGTATGTCTCCTGCTGTTTTACACGAATTCTGCCATATATTTCATGTTATAGCAGTCTCGGATGATGACCCAAGCACATGTTTGTTTTAAGAACACTTTCACAGAAGATTTGACAAAACGCAAAGATACCAATGTGAGATTTCTAAAAATAGCTACAGCACTCAACCCAAGGTTTAAGAATCATAAGTGCCTTCCAAAATCTGAGAGGGACAAGGGGTCAAGCATGCTTTCAGAAGTCTTAAAAGAGCAACACTCAGATGTTGAAACTATAGAACCCAAACCACCAAAAAAGAAAATCAACCTTCTGCTGGTGACATCTGACTCAGATGATGGAAATGAACATGCTTTGGTGCGCTCTGCATTGGATCGTTATCAAGCAAGAACCCATCATCAACATGGACGCATGTCCTCTGGAATGGTGGTTGAAGATGAAGGGACATATGAATCTTTAGCGCATCTAGCACATAAATATCTTGCGATGCCAGCTACAACAGTGCCATGCCAATGCCTGTTCTCACTTTCAGGTGACATTGTAAACAAGAAGCAGGCAGCATTATCTCCTGCAAATTGTAACCAAGTTTGTTTGTCTGAGCAACTGGCCGAAGTAGGACTGAGTGGACTTGTAGGCTCTAAAGTTTTACATTGTTTTATTTTTCAGTATTTATTTATTTTTGTACATAATTCTACATGTGTAAGTTCAAGTTTCATGATAAAGAGATTGCACTACATTCCTTTATGAGGTGAAATCAAAAAATACTATTTCTTTTGTTTTTTACAGTGCAATTATTTGTAATCAAAAATAATTATAAAGTGAGCACTATATACTTTGTATTCTGTGTTGTAATTGAAATCAATATATTTGAAAATGTAGACAACATCCAAAAATATTAAGCAATAATGGAATACCATTTAAACAACGCAAATAATTTTTTTAATGGTGCAATTAATTTTTTTAATAGCTTGACAGCCCTACTTGCAATATTATCCACCCATGTTAGCACTGCTTGTAAAAGTATGCAGGGGCACTTAGGGAGTCAGGGGACTTTATTTTTGTTGTACTAATGACACCTGGAAGTTTTCATGCCCCAGAGAGATGACCCAGAGAGGGGACTGAAATGATGCCAGCCCACGCATGGCTGCCTTTGAAAGGCCTGTATAGTGAAGAGACCACTCTTTCAGGTAAAAATCTCCCCAGTTAAAAATCCTGAGTCACTACTCAGGAGAGCCACATTTATATGCAGTAGTGATACCACATTACATTTTAACTAGTACACAAATTGGGAACCTGCTGGCCTTATAAAATGGAGGCTGGGAAAGAATGACTCTTCCAGATCTGGGATGCTGCCCCTCTCATCACTCCATAACCATCTGCTCAGGGGAGAAAGTAGAGGCAGTGGTGAGGCAGGGAAGCTGGGAATAAAAACCTGGACATTAGGCCATGGTGACCCACAATGACAGCTGGGAATGATAGCCCAATACTTTCACATTCTTTTAGGTATGGCAGGAAATTCCTACCCCACTATTACATCCTTCCAGGCTACATGAGAAAGAATATATAGCTATAGCTTGCCTTGGGCATCTGTAGACCTCCTAAGCTTAGTTTCACAGTAAATTCTTGCCTCACGATCTAGTGTGAAGATATATTATTTGATTCTCAGCTGATTTGGACTGGAGGTCTTTTTCCCTTAGGAGAAAGAATTCTCTTGGGAGGTTCAGGGAGGGGTGCACACCTACAGGAATCAGCATATGTTTATGGCCTGGTCTTTTCTGCCCTGATCTGCCATGCTGCACTCTGTGGAGCTGAGCAGTGAAACAGGCACTGAGGATTATCTGCTCTGCTGCACTCAGAAAGGTGAGCAGGGGAAACAGAACGGATTTATTTCCCCTTTCAGAGTCTGTTCCCATAAGCCTGATTCAGAGGCAGTATGAAATCTGGCTCAGAAGACTCCAAAAATATTTCAAGAGGCTAGTGATCTCCCTGTCCTCCAAGAGGCTTGGTTTATTTGTTTCCTCTCCCACAAATGGGCCCCTCCTGAGTGCCTCAAGAAAGGTACTGACTCCCAGAACCAGATCCCTCTCTGTTGAAAGGAATTTACTTGGATCAGAGAAGTCTGTTTTCCCAGGAGGTCTGAGCCTCAGACATGAGTTGGGATTGCCAGGGGAGCAGAGTTAGAGGTGGCAGCTGAGCCCAAAAGCCCCTTACTGCATTCACTGGCATCGGCAGTGTCCAGTGCCCTCCAGCTTCGGTTCAGCGGAGAGGAAGAGGAGGCAGTTGAGCTCCACAGTCAGAGGTCTGGTTGACGGGCTATAGGACTCAGGTGCGATCTTCCATCTGGCAGTCTGCTCTTCTGGCTTCATTTCCCTCATGTACTTTGGGGAGAAAAGGGCTGGCTGCGCCAGAGCAAATTGTTTTCCAATTCTGCCTGGCTCATTTCTTGCCCTGGGAAAGGAAGGGAGCTAAGGTGACCCCGCCCAGCTTGTGCTGGGAGGGTGAAACTGCATCCTGCCTGCAGAGCTCTCCAACAACACGCTTCATACCCACATCAAATAAGACCCTTTTGCCTCTGGGTTTTCCTCAACCTAGCACACTCCCTGAAGCCTGCAAGGGCATCAGCTGAGGAAACATCTCAATAGCAAAAGTGGAGCTGAGGGGACAGTCTCCCCAAAAATCCAATGAAGCTCTAGGGACACAGCCGGGAATTAGACATATTACTGAACTGTTAGTCTAAACATTTGAAATTTTTCCTCAGAAAAGCTTGGCAGCAGGTAAAGTTGGGCTGAGCCCATCAGCCACATGGGGGTAGAAAAAACTGGAGGGAACTTCCAGAGGCCAAGCATTCCCCTCCTATTAGTGACTGACAGATCTGGTTCTGCTCCCAAGTTTTAAGCCGGCTGAAGTATCCACTACGATTGATCTGTGGACCTTGGTACAAACAAGAAATGGACACTTTCTGAAAGTATGTTTTCTATAAGGTACGCTCTTGGAAGGCGAAACAAAATAATGCATCATTCCTGTGTACATTTATGGTGCTGTTGGTCCATTACAGTAGATAAACAAAAAATAGTTACATTTCTTCTGTTTGCAACCTATGGAACATACCTGAATTACTATGTATTTCAAAAGTGCTTCTAGAAAGTAGCTTGTAAGATCTTCTTGTCCTTTATCTCCTGATTGTGGAGGGACAAGTGGAGTAATTTCCTCTACAGTCACTTGCGCTGTCCAAAAATGAAAAACAGTTCATTAAGATACTGGAACAAATTATTAAGCCATCAATTTGTAAGCACCTAGAAGGTAACAGGGAGATATATAATAGCCAACATGGATTTGTCAAAAACAAACCATGACAAACTAATTTGATTTCCTTTTTACGAGACAGGTGGATAGGAGGGAAGCAGCAAATGTGATTTACCTTGATTTGAGTAAATTCTTTGACACAGTCCCACATGACATTCTCATAAGCCTACTCGTGAAATGTGGTCTATATGAAATTATTATAAGGCTGGTGCGCAAATAGTTGAAAAACTATACCCAAAGAATAGTTATCAATGGTTCACTATTAAGCTGGGAGGATGTATCGACGAGGGTCCCACAGGAGTCAGACTCAGGACAGGTACTACTTAATATTTTCATTAATGATGTTGATAATGGGGTGGAGAGTATGCTTATAAAATTGCTAATGACACCAACCTCGGAGGGCTTGAAAGCCTTAGGAGGACAGGATTAGAATTCAACACACCCTTGACAATTTGGGGAACTGGTCTGAAATCAACAAGATCAAATTCAATAGAGACAAGTGCAAAGTACTAAACTTAGGAAGGAAAAATCAAATGTAACAAATACAAATTGGAGAATAGCTGGTTAGGAAATAGTACTGCAGAAAAGGATCTAGGAATTATAGGGGATCACAAACTGAATGAAAGTCAACAAGTGATGCAGTTGTGAATAAGGCTAATATAATTCTGGGGTGTATTAACAGAAGTGTTGTATGCAATACACTGGGGATAACTGGTCTGCTCTACTTGGCACTGATGAGATCTCAGCTAGAGTAGCGTGTCCAGTTTTGGATACCCACTTTAGGAAAGTGAAGGACAAAATGGAAAGAGTCCAGAAGAAAGCTACAAAAATTATAAAAGGTTTAGAAAAACTGACCTATGAAGAAACTGGGCATGGTTAGTCTTGAGAAAAAGATGACTGGGGGGGGAGGAAATCAGATATCAGTCTTCAAATATATTAAGGGCTATTATAAAGAGGATGGAGATCAACTGTTGTCCATGTCCACTGAAGGTAGGACAAGAAGTAATGGGATTAATCCGCAGCAAGGGAGATTTAGGTTAGATATTGGGAAAAACTTTCTAACTATGAGGAAATTTAAGGTCTAGGATACATGCTACAAGGGAGATTGAGGAATCCCCATCACTGGAGGTTTTTAAGAACAGGTTAGATAAACACCTGTTAGGCATAGATTAGGTATGTCTGGTCCTGCGTCAACACAGGGGAATGGATGAAGTGACCTTTCATGGTCCCTTCCAGCACTATATTTTCTATAGTACATTTCATCAAGAAATATATTGTTTCCCTTAATTTTGCAAAATTATGACAAACAGGTGTTGGAAAATTGGCTGCTCAAAACAAAATCAAATACAAATTACAACCAAAAATCCTACCCCAAGAGTGATTCAAATTTAAAAGACTTTGCCAATAAGTCCCCTACAAGTTGCCTTATCATGCCCTTTGTACTTTTTTCCACTTTTATGTGGTAAGCACACATCAATCATCATCATCAAGGCTATCTGTGTGTACTTTTGAATACTTATTTTACTAAATCTATCTGCTGAGTCCCTATTTTAAAAATCTGTTATCGTTGCATTTTGGAATTTTCCTTGTTTGGCTTGACTTTATGGATTTCACGCTTTTGTTTTAAGGAATTAAAATATCTATCCTATGGTTCTTTCAGTTGTTCTTTCATTAGTCAGTAATCTTAAACCGATTTTATGATTATTGTTGCTGCTTTTAGTTACATGTTTATTTAAACTCTCCAATTACATTAGTTCAGTGCTTCTCTATTTTGTACTCTCTTGTAATCAGAGCTTGAGCATTTTTTCCAGCTCCTCGCCCTCCATAATTCTTTGCTGCCTAACAGCATGTAAGTCCTGCCCTGTTTGTTCCTCCTTTCCTATTGTTCTGGACACTGCAGGATGATAGACAAGTCAAGAAGAACCTCTGGGGTCCCTGGCACAATCTGCACCATGGGGCTGCTCTGAAGCTGCAACCCTTGGAAGCCCTGGTGTCCCCAGTAGCCCACCAGGATAGCTGCTGGGAAACCAAGCATGGCCTGTGGTGTTTCACTGGAAGTTCATTGAAATGGATATGTTTCCACAAAATATTTTACTTTTGACAAATCAAGTTTCTAATAAAAGCCAGTTTTGTCAGAAAATTCTGAACAGCTCTAGTTATGATAACCAATATGAGAGGAGATGATGCTATGAATCTGTTTTTTTGGAAAAGGTGAAGTTGAAATAAATCTTCATACAGGGGTCTTATGGAGTTAGTGATACAGCTACAGGTATAAATGTTGAACCGAGTGATCTGCGGAACTCATTGTCCCAAGAAATCATTGAGACCAAGAATCTAGTAGGAATCAAAGGATCAACCATATGAATAATGAAAATATCCAGTTGCATTAGCTAGTATAAAAATTAAGTCATAAAAGGATATAAACCCTTATGCCTTATGGCACAAGGCTGCAATTAGAGGTTACAGTTTCTCCTATGGGCAGGTTATTCTATAATCGTCCACTATGGTAGTTCATAAACCTGTCACTTGAATATTAGGTACTGGCCACTGTAAAGATACTGGATTAGATGGACCACTGCTCTGCTGCAGTAAAGCAACACGTATGTTCCTAAGAGATTTGGGAAGAGAAAGTCAGGGTCAAGAATGACACCAAGATCCTAAAAGCCCTGAGCACAGCTGCACTCATTAGTGGTTCCATAACCCCTATGGGTAACAGAAAGCATGTCAGACGACTTACTTTAGTTATTTCTACAGTTCCTGAGCAATGGAAAAGTTAGTGAAATGGGACCATGTAAAGAACTGGGTAATGTTACTAAATTACTTACTTTCTTGAACATTAAGTGGAGGGTTAATGAGATTATCTAGTGTTCGAGGTCCATACTCAGATTGTGGTGATGAAAATCCAGGAATTAAGCAAGAAAACATACATAGCTGTTCTTTACTACAGTTATTCTGAAGTGCTTGCAACCACAAGAGGAAGAGACGCACACCTTCTCGACGGATCTTAAAAGGGGAAAAAGGGAGTTTTTTGTTTGTCAGTCTCTTGGCTTTTAAGTTGCATTACACTCTAGTGTGTAGACTTGAAATAGCTTCCTTACATATGCATACAAATAAACAAAAAGGACCAGGTCTGTAAAGTACAAAAGTGCTATTTTTGCACAATCTCTCCCTTTCAATAAAGAACTGCACCATAGAGGGCATGTCAACAATACCATTCTTTTTTCTTAAAAAGTAATCAAAGTGTTGCAAAATCTATTTCTTAAATTATTGGATCTTTCTGCTCATAACCAAAACTATGATAGAAAAAGACTGAAGTCTCGTATTATATAAATGAACCAAAAACTATTCCTCTCCCCATATAAAGTAAAAATTAGGACTTCTTTCCTCTTGAAAGCAAAAATTAAAGCACCAATCCTGCAAATGCTATGCACCTGCTTACCTCTATGGGACTTCTCAAGGTACTAAACTAGGTGCATAGAAGTTGAAAGGTTCGCCGCCTATTATGAACGTAATCAATCTTGTTAGTCAGTGTTACTGTTTTTGTGCCAGTGATTATTCTAAGAAAAACAACATATACGCATAAAAATGCAAAAGCAAAGATATAGGTATTTATTTTCCTTACCTTTAAGGAATTTCCGGTGTGAAGGAGTTTCTTTAAAATCAAGCCTGAAAGGAAAATACGTTTTAAAGATGTTCTTTGCTCTTTATTCAACTTCAGATGTCAGAGTTCTCGGTCAGACTTGATAATCTTTTAAGCAAGTCCTTGGCAATCTCCAATTTACTCTTGGTGAACTTGATATCCTCTGACAATCATCTCAGTGCCAGAAGGGGGAAGAAAGATCACCTTCTACAAGATCTGTTCCTTTTCTCATAATCAATACCAAAAAATTTATAGAAATGTAGGATGGTGGACAGTCTTGAAGGTGGGAGGGTGTCTGAACGCTGGATCCCCACTGTGGCAGTGGGCATGCTGGGAAACTTTTCAGAGACAATAGGTAAGTTTCATTAGAAATGGGAGTTTAGTTTGAAAGCAGAAAGCTTGTGGTTGCATCTTTATGTTTATCTTCTGTGTAACTTGTATGTGTTTGCTTCCCCTTACAATTTTCGACTTTGAATCTGATTTTTCTATCAAATAAAATGTTTTGTTTATTTTTAACCCAAGCAGGTCTCCAATGTGCAAACTATGTGGAGTGTGCGTGCCAAAGCAAGCTGTTGTCGGGGGGAGTGGGGGCAGGTTTCATGCATTTGAGAGTGATGAACCAGATGGGAAAAGTGCAACTGTCGGGTAGTTAAGAACTTGGGATAGACTGATTTGGGGAGACTAGGGACTAGAAGGGCTGTTGGGGTCACCCTGAAAGGAGTAACTATTCTGGTGGAAGCCAGGGTGAGACTTTATACTTGTGGGCTGGCTACTGGTATCAGGGCTCTGAGCCATAGCAGTAAGGCACCTGAAGTTACAAGGCAGGTAGTGACAGAAGCCCTTGCTGGTCTGAGTGATCTCCAAGTGTCACAGTGCCTTAACGATCTCTCTAGAAAAACCATTTCATAATATCAGTTACCATATTGTTAAGAAGCTTAAGAACATCCAGACTAAGTTTCTTTTTAAAAAGTTGCAGAAGTCTCAAGTCCTTGCTCCTTATTATGCCACTTTAAGTAATCCCTATCCCCTCCTTTATATTATCATGCAAATAAAACTGTCAAACTTAAGACATTAAAGAACTCAATTACACTTTATATAGTATCTTGTTTGATTCTATTTTTTTTTAAAGCCACTTATAAAAAAAAAAAAAACAAAACACGACTTCTTTTTTAAATACAAACTCACCAATACTATGAAACTGCCACCTCTGGTGAATCCTTTCTGGAAGAAGTTGTAAAATTTTCTACAAAAGCAAAAGCCAACAATCCACACTACACAGTTATTACCAAAAAAATGCATGCTAGAAATACCAAAGATTAACAGCAGTTATCAAGGGAGAAAATGTAAGTTTTCTTAATTAATAACGCTGTCTTTTTGTGGCATCCACCCACCCCAAAAAAAACAGCCATCCAGAGGAAGATAAGCAAATTTTTAGAAAATTAATTTTATCTGCATCCAAGATACAAGTTAAATATGCATATGCAGCATTTCGCTGTAATTATATAAATGAACAGGTATTTCTATAGTGTCATCCCATGTATGTGACCACCTCCAGTATATGACAAGCTATAAACAGCTTGATTCACCATTGAATTACATTCTTTGTGGGGACACAAGGTAGGTGCGGTAATATCTTTTATTGAACCAACTTCTGTTGATGAGAGAGACAAGCTTTTGAGCCACACAGAGCTCTTCTTCAGGTCTGGGAAAGGTGCATCATAGCTAAATCCAATGTGGAACAGATTGTTTAGCATAAGTAGCTAGTACAGTCTAAAAGGACCATTCAAGGTAGAGTGGCCCGTTAACACCTCTGCAGTCATAGGACCAAAAAAAAAAAAAAAAAAAAAAAGAGAGGGTTAGCGGGTTACAGATTGTTGTAATAAGCCATATATACAGTGTCTCTGTTCAGCCCATGATTTTTAGTATCTAGCAGAGTGATCAATTTAAGCTCCCAAGCTTGTCTTCTGAAAGTGTTGTGCACGTTTCCTTTGATGGTGAGGACTGATCGATCATTCTATATCTGACCTCTTTGTGAAGTGTTCACCCACAGGTGATAGGATATTTTTGTCTTTTTATAATTTTCCTGTGTGAGTTCATTTGAGAGCATAGCAATTGTCTGGTTTCACTCACACAGAGTTATTGGGGCATTTAGTTACCTGGATGAGGTATGCCACATACTGTGTTAGGCATGTGTAGGATCCAGGGATGACTGCAGAGATGTTAATAACAATCTGCCTTGAATGGTCCCTTACAATACATGCTAACTACTTACCCTAAAAAAAAAAAAAAAAAAAAAAAAAAAATCAGATCCACTTTGCATTTTGCTGTGATGCTGGAAGTACCTTTTCCAGAATTGAAGAAGAGCTGTGAGTGACTGGAAAGCTTCTCTCTCACCAACAGAAGTTGGTCCTATAAAAGACATTACCTCATCCACTTTGTCTCTCTAATATCCTGGAACCGACACAGTTACAAGTACACTAATTACATTCTTTTTTGGGCAGTTAATATTTAACCTGTGTAGTTGCACCCAAGGAAGCAGCCAATGGGCCTACCAAAACCATATTTGCCGACCCTCCCCATGAAATTAAATGATTTGCTCCAACTTGTAACAGCCTAATCCTACAGTTCCATTGTGTTAAAACCCAATAACTTTTCTGGCAAATTATCTGAGTCAAAAAACAATACTGGAAGATTCAAAACATCTTACCTCAAAAATAAAAAGTATAGCATCTAATTCTTCCCTCTGAGACTTGTGACCTAAATTTAATTTAAAAAGAATCCTTAAATTATGTAGTTTTCATTATGAAGAGTCATTTAAGGGCCATTGACTAAAAATATAAATACCCAAAACGTCTATACGTCTACAGACACAGTAAGTAGATTTCTCACATTCCTTCCATTGCATTAAGCCATTGCATTGGTTTAAAATAGTACCCTGTATTTTGACATTATATTTAGAGTCTACAGATGAACACACCTGCAACCAACTGTAACTAAGGAGCTAATGACTAGTGTAGTCACTAAAAATATAAAATGCAAAATATTTTGCAGGGATAACAATACAAAACCTAGATGTAAGTGGTATTTATTTAGGTTTCAGAGCAAACTTTTAGATTTCACTTTTTTAACTGCATTAAAATGTGAAACTGCACTATTAGATAAAAAGGTTTTGAGTTCTGGTTTATATTTTTCTCACAGACTATTAAAGCAAGCTCTGGAATGGAGTTATAACATTTAACAAGAGAGAATTAAAGAACTTTTTAACAAAGGTGATGTTTTTTGACCTGCCCACCCTCCAGATCAAGTTATACCACACGCTTTATGAAACATGCAGTATTTTGGGAAATAAAAAATTATTTCTTTAAATCTACAAGAACAGAGCTAGCCTTAAGATTTGAAGATCCTCAAATCTGCAAGAAGATTAGAAGGGCTAGCAGGCGAGCTTGTCTCTCTTTGCCCCATATGAGTGTCAGTTGCTTCTCCCTTTGTATCTTGCTAAGAGTGATCCAACTGGTGAACCTGCCTTGGATCTCTCAGCCCACACAGATAGTACCAAACAGTTGAGCACAAATGATGGACTCAAGACCAACCCTGCTTCAAAGTGTTAATAAACACAGCGTCAGAGAAAGAAATTTCAAATTTGAAAGACATTTGAAATTCTTACCTTTTTGTTTGAGACCTACTTCAATAGTCACAAAATTTTCAAAGAACACATAATATATAGGTGAAAAGTGTAGGTCAAAAAACTGTTTAAGATCAATGGACTCTGCATTCTCTGAAAGATAAACAGAAGGTTATTTTTCTCTCTCATTATCTAGCCTTATGGTTCATCAAGTTATATCAGTGTTTAATAATACCAGATGAACAAGATGTTTAGGATGACTAATATATTCAATATAGAAGTCAAAGCACTTTTACAATTCTGGCTAATTAAATTCAAGTTGGTGGGTATGGATTGCTTAGTATATATTTATGTTTAAGCAAGACTAACAATGACCATTCTTAAATTATTTTTGCATGCAAGACATCAACAAAGGTGTCACACCAATTTTATCTTAAACATTCCTTGAGTGCGAGTCACTCTAGTATCTAGAAACCCATAAGTAGTTCCTCCTGCACACACACACCCCCAAAAGATTACTTAAATAAAATACTTTAGAGAAAAAAAGTAGGGCAACTAACCAAAATTTGGACACATACTTCACAGTTAACATAGTTAAATTATATGGGCCAAATGTGTCAGTATATAAACCTTCACTATATTGTTGTACATTCATTCCACCTTAAATAAAGGTCTTTTTAATTACCTGTCTGACCATAATCTCTTAATTACAGTCCTCCTCACACCATTGTTCTTCTGACCCTTTTGTTTAAATCTAATGACATCACAACTACCTGCATGCATAATAAGCTATAAGTGACAAAGTGTAAATGACAGATGTCAAATGCTTGTGCTTCAAAGCAGCACCTTGGAATCCCCATATTCACCATGGTCATATAAGTTATTATATATTTTGTGCAGAGTATGCCTTGTGAGGTATCATTTTAAAAGTCTTGATCTGTTGAACATTAATATCCTGTTGGCTTGTATGTGCCATCATTGTAGGGAAGTTATGAAGTTTTGCTATGTGTGTGTTACTAAAATATGTTGTGAAGTTGGGAACAACCACAACCAGCCTTTCAGGTGCAACAATGGAGGAGCCAAACGTGCTGATGGCCCATTATAGGAATCCACATTCCCAAGAACTATCCCAAGTCCTGTATACAATTGAGACTTCTCAGATATAGCACATAAACAATGGAGACATAGCCTAGGATCTTTCCAGCAAGCTGATGAAGTGGGTTATAGCCTATGAAAGCTTACGCCCAAATATATTTGTTAGTCTCGAAAGTGCCACAAGGATTCCTCGTTTTTATAAAAGAGAAGTGACATCATCACTTGACCTTATTCCCCCTCACAACTCAACACCTGAAAACACATCTGGAGAACAAAGACAGAACTGGGGAGATGGTTCCAGGCTAAAGGAGAGTTCCAGCCTGTGTATGGAAGATTTTTAACCTGCACATATTATCACAGACTATTAAAGCAAGCTCTGGAATGGATTATCAGGGCGAGACACTGCTTGATTCAAATCCTGTCCCCAGTTTATAGAACTCAGATTATGAATTTACTTTTATTTCTTAGATAACCAACTTTTATCTGTATACTTACTACTTCTAATCACTGAAAGTCTTTCTGTAATCAATAACCCTGTTTTATGTTTTACCGAAAACAGTGTGTTTTGGTTGAAGTGCTTGGGAAATCTGCAGAACGGTAGAGCCTTGGGTTTCTAGGCTGGGGAGCTGGGGGAATTGGCTGGAGACTTTCTATTATTGGTTCATGAGTGGCTGGCAAAAGCATTCATGTAACTCAGTTGGGTATGTTCCTGTCTGTGCAGTACCTGGAGAGCTTTGCAGTTTGTCACAGAATCACAGTGTGAGAGGGAGCTCAGGCTGGAAAGACAGAGTACTGAGCAGTACCCAGTTCCTGGTTGCATCCCGGTGAACCCGTCACAACAGTAATGAGTAACAACCAACTAAAGAGGATGGCTCCAAGTACAGCAAGTTACTAATTGTTTTTTCTGCTGCCAAAATCTGCATTATTGCCATCTCTCAATTCCAGCAAGCTGATGAAGTGGGTTATAGCCTATGAAAGCTTATGCCCAAATAAATTTGTTAGTCTCTAAAGTGTCATTCCAAGTATTGTCATTTATTTTAAAAGGATTCTCATGAACATCTGATTTCTTCAGTCTTTTTCAACATCAAAACTTCAACTGTACAAAGTTTTGCCCTTACCCAAAGTGACTATCAACAATGGGGCGAATACCAGATTGCTCTCAGGGAAGATGGTGGCCCCTTAATCATCACGTGAGGACCAGGAAGCAGGGATGACCCGGGTGATTTTTACCAGGATAAATCATGATTTTAATCACATTAGAAAAAACTGGTTAGTCCGAGTTTAAGGCATTTTCTATTTTAAAAATGGTTTTGTTAATGCACACCACATAACACTTAGTTTGAGTTACATATTCAAATTTTGGTTACATAAGGCAGTAGATAAGTAGATTAATTTGGGATTGAACAAATAGACTACAGTGGGCTTAATATTAATGTGTAATTATTGGGGGGAGGGATAGCTCTGTGGTTTGAACATTGGCCTGCTAAACCCAGGGTTGTGAGTTCAATCCTTGAGGGGGCCATTTAGGGATCTGGGGGGAAAAAAAGTCTGTCTGGGGATTGGTCCTGCCTTGAGCAGGGGGTTGGACTAGATGACCTCCTCAGGTCCCTTCCAACCCTGATAGTCTATGAATTGGTAATACTGAACATTGGAATGTCTCTACACATTTTGGTTTGGTATTTTCTCCAGGAAGTTATACAGATGGCTCATATTTCAGTTTTCAATATTATATAAACTGAAAAGTCAAAAACATTCTATTACATGAAAATGCAGAGTTGTAGGCTTGAAGCATTAAGCAATCAGAAACAAACGGAATTGGCCATTTGGCCACACAGCATTCTGTAGCAAAAGACCAACTTTGATGTAGTGGACAGACCAAGTCTACTCCTCAGTTTTGAATGGATGTCTCCAAACTTTGAAAAGATTCACTCTACACTTGAACACTGATGCAGTTATATTTCCAAGTTTAAGCCAGTATTTACCAGCACCGTGTCCTCAACTAGTTTTTCCTTGGGAAATTGACAACCCTACTAGGAAGGGGACAGAAGAATATGGAGGACCAGGACTGGAACTGTGATGGCATCAGGAGGGGAAATCAGGGTAGATAAAAATCAAATGATTTATTAAAAAAAAAGTAAAAATCTTTCTTATAAAATGCTTTTTGAGGGAAAAAAAAACCCTATCTAAAGATAGATACAGTATAGCTCAAGGATATCTCATCATGGAATAGGGATTATAAATACTAATTCTATAGTATGAGACAATATATTCATGTAACAGTTAAGAAAAGTTTTGTAAACGAGTTCCAGTAGTTTATGGATTAGGGACCCACAGGGGTGGCTCTAGACTAGCTACCAGCAACTGGCGCCCTAGGCAAACCATGCAATTGGCGCCCCCACCCCCAAGAGCAGATCTAGGCTGAGGTTTTTGGTAAACTGGGAAATTTTGCCTCTCTTTTCCTTTTAACGTTTTTACGCGTTTTTTGTTTTTGTTTTTAAACCAGAGGCTTAATTATTTGGTCTGTCCGACCAATGTTTCTGAGATCAGATAAATTAGAGACACGAAATTTTCAGAACAGATTTGTATACGACAGCTAAAGGATATTTCAGTCAAATTTCAAATAAAAATGCATTAAAAATGTTAATTATAATTTTTATTACTACAAATCCAAAATCATCCATTACTCTATCCTGCTTTAACTGCCATTACCACCACATCCAATACAGAAAGAAATAAGAAAACTCTTCAATGAACTCTAACCTGTATTTACAAAACACCCCAAATAAAAAAAACAAACACTCTGTGCTCTTAAAACATGACTTTTCTTGCTTTAAGTTTTGAAAATTCAGTCACTAGTTCTTTTAGATCCAGTTTTCCAGCTATTTCATGCTCTATTAACATTGTGGCAAGTCCAACAAGTCTCTCTTGCACCATTGTTGAACGCAGATACATTTTTATCAATTTTAACTTTGAGAAGCTACGCTCCCCAATAGCTACGGAAACTGGCAAAGTTAAAAGAATGCATACAGCTATAAAAATGGTTTGGAAAATGGTCTATGAGTTTATTTTCACAAACAAATTTCAGTACTTCTTCAGGAGTGGAATGTTTCTTAAGTAGTCTTGAAAAAGCCTGAAGCTCACTACAAAAAACTGTAGCATCAATGTTCTTTTGAATTTTCATGAGTCAATGCCGACTCCAGTTTTATACAAAATTCTCTTATCCGTTTTGCTGTTTTCTTTTGCAAGCTGTGGATATCATATAGAAAGCCAAATACTGACTCTAGCTGCTGCATCTTTTGTCAACCGAGTGACTAGCAGTATCAAGGACTGCAAAGTAGAAATTCACTTTGAACCTTTGTTTTGGGTTCTGAATGGGTGTGTCTCATCCCCTTCATAAGAAAACCGAATTGAACCTGAGCCAGTTCACAATTCTGTTGGAAAGTCTATTTCTTCAGCAAGCGCGAGAGAATCTACCAGTGTTCTTTCAAACTCTTCATCACTTCTGAATTCCTCCAGAATATTTTTAGTTTGCTGCAGTTTTTGAATAGCAGAATGTATGTTCAAGTTCTTTTCCTGAAACTGCTTACTAGTGAGGTTATCCTTTTCGAGATTATTATACCACAAAATGAGTGAAGCCACAAATTTGAATTTGCAGAAGCTCTTGCAAATGGCCTTTCCATCTGAACGTGCCGTATTGCCAGATGATCCAGTAAAGTTAGTATCAGAAATTTCAATTAGGGAATTATAAATGTTTCCAAGATCATAGCGAAGAGGCTTCAAAGCATCAATGCAACTCTCCCATCTTGTCTGACTAAGTGGTTTCACAGTTAGAGAATTCACATGGCGAGTCAGAATCTTCCAATGGCGTGTTGAGTCTGAGAAAAAACAAACAAACAAACACAAACACGTTGCAACAGGTCAAAGAAACTGCTTGCCTCCAAACAGCATCTAGCAGCTTCATTGACAACCTAATTCAGAGAATGCGCACTGCAAGGAACAAAAGGCCCTAGGATTGATTTCCATCATTCTCCTTTGCACACCGTTGTCTTTACCCTTCA